ATTTCAATGAGATTAAACAGTTTCAGTGCCTACAGTGTCCCTCCGGCTGCCATCTTGTCAAGTTGTCAAAAAACAAGATTTATGGAAGACCCTTTGAAATCTAGCCTAACGTTATGTATCATTTTTTATTTATGGTCAGTTCATTTCCAGAAGAATAACGTTTGCTGAAATATACTGTTCTGGGATTTACTTTTGAAAAGTGCTAAATTGGTTACCAGATCACTAACAACCGTTGCTTGAAATTATGTAGTATTGTAAAAATGTCTACCTCGATTTAAGCTTTGTTGGTGAGTATTTACTGGAAACATGCACCATTATTTCCATTCATTTGTTTTATTCATATGTTTGATTACCATTATATACACATTCCTCTACCTCTATTCAGTTGTTGATTTGTCTATTTGTCACTGTACCATCTCCCATTTTATCCCATTTTCTTTTCAGTCTAATTTTATTGACTCTCTTTTTTCATCCTTTTTCATGCTCCATACTCTTTTTATCTCTGTATATCCACTGAAATGAAAATATATAAATTTACCAAAAAGGTATTTAATACCTGCTTAAAAATGGAGTGGTTAATACATGTAGACTGACAATTCGAGGTGTATAAATAAATGCAGTAGGTTTTAAAGCATTGCTCATTACTCATGCTTTTTAGAAGCTGCCTTCAAGTCTAACAATTTACGTATTATTACATGACTGGAAATAGAAGACAAAATAACTGAGTGTTGAGAATGAAAATAGAAACGTTTAGCATCGTGAGTTGAAGTTGTTGGATTAGGCCTTGTTTGGTGACCTCTCTTCACTCTCTTTTAACTATTGTTTTTTTTTTTTAATCCTAATTATTAATTTGTTCAATATAAAATACAATGTTTTTTGCCTAGGTGAGGTGTTTTTAAATAAACCTATTACATTCTGTGAGACTTGAAATTGCTGTTTAGTGGATGAGCGAGTGCGCTGGATCTTGTATGTTGTATGAATTGGCCCCAGCAGCACCCTATAATGTATGCATGTTCAGGTGAGTGCAGCCACTTGGTTTCATATTTATATATATTTGGGAGTCCAGGCCAACTTCACAGCTTTGCACCCCTCCCTGTCAAAGGTGCCTCACTCAACGGCCCTATTAAACTTTGACCTGCAGAGAGTCCCAAGAGGAAGCATTTCCCAAGTAAGTGGGTTAATCTCATAAGAGCCGGCATTAGGTGCTAAAGTAGGACCTGCCAAGAATGAGGTACATTGACGTTGTGGCAGGCTTATGCAATGTATCATCATATACTGTAACTAAACCCCCATACATTTTTTGCCTAGGTGAGGTGTTTAGTAAATGAGTGAGTGAGCTGGATCATGTATGCTGCATGTGGAATTGTCATGTCCAGTCCTGACCATGTTTGGTGACAGTTCCTTCCAGAAACTATAAATATATTCATGTGCACTGCATTTATAACATTGGAGTTGTATGACACCTCAATACACTTCATTTGCTGTGGAGCTCCATAACACATGCACATTGCACATATGGAAATGGAGCTCTGTGATACACTCATACACATTGAATATTACTTTGGGTTTAATTGAAGTTAAGCACTCAGATACAATTATATACACTGAATACACTGTGAGTTTCATTGCAGTTGAGCTCTAAGATTAATCCAAATACATATATAGAACAGTTTGTAATGCACAAAAAAATATCTCACATTGTACAAAAAGCGAATTAGATGTGCTCCTGTAGCAGGTTGATGAGACGCATCCGGTGGCTCTTATTTTATGTATTATATAACGTGTTTGTCACATTAAGATCTCACGTGATCAAGAAGTGAACGAAGTAATGAATACAGGAGTCTTGTGAATTTTTATTGGCTCTAAATTTCTCCTTTCTTATACTAGCTCATACTATCTAAAGTCAATTTAGATTATCTAACATTCGAAAAGTGGAGCTCTTTAATCCATATCCAACAATCAATTAGTTGATATATCCACCAGATTGTTATAAAACAACAGATAGTCTATAAGGAAGAATAGGCAAGAACATTTAATCATTTACAAATTTTACTTCCAGATTGAGATCTTCTCATAGGATTAACATTGATTTCCTTTTACTCGTCAAGTTAAACACCAGATGCAAACTGCTTTAGCTGTTAAGAAATGTATCAATAAATATCTGAACATCCATGTCACTGATATTTCACTCCTTCTGATATACATTGCCACTAACAATGGCTGCGATACAATATTTCTTCATAAATTTTTCTAATTATTTAATATTTTTCGATAAACTTTTAAAATTATTTTTTTTTTTAAATATTAAAATATGCCATATAAAAAAATACATTGTATTATATCAATGTATAAAAATATTAGCACATTCACTTGAGTAACAGCAAGGTGGAGGTAGAATTTTATGTTCCTTCAGTAAACTAACTTAAACTGGACTCTTTCAATAGATGAAACAGTAATTTAATCAGTGGTGGAGCCTGAAGATGTCCTAAGATGGGGAATTTCTATTTTTTTAGTTCCACTGTCCAAAATATCATTCCCTAGAATGACAAAGACGGTAGGTCTGTAGAAATGTTGTAGGTTTGCCCAGGAAGTGAATTGGACCACTCCAAAGGGACAGCCAAAACGACATGGAACCACTTTTTAAAATAGTCAGGAATTCCAGGATGGGATGTGCAAACTCACTTTGTGTGTCAAAAAGGCAGAAAAAAATGCTTATTACCACTACACTTGGTACAAGCTAGCGGAAAAATGATCCCACGCTAAGGTTCAAAATATGCCGTTTGAAATAACCTGGGATGTCTTCTTTAATAAATGGTATGGCTTTATGGGGTATTTGGATTATATAACCTGGTAAAATACACTATAATGGGACATGGGCACAGCGTAAAAATGTAAAGTTTGAAAAAAACTGGAATGGCTGTGTCCCAAATGTGCCCCTCCGATGTCCACATATACCTGGCAAAGGTACATACGGGGTATTGTTGTATTCAACCAACATAGCTGAGCAACATATGAAGTATTATACAGTCGTAGCACACATATGATTTGCAAAATATACTGTGCAATCTCACTTTGTGTGTCAAAAAGGCAGAAAAAACGCTTATTGCCACTACATTTGGTACAAGCTAGCGGAAAAAAATTATCCCACGCTAAGGTTCAAAATATGCCGTTTGAAATACCCTGGGATGTCTTCTTTAAGAAATGGTATGCCTTTATGGTGTAGTTGTAATATGTAGCCTGCTCAAGTGCTCCAAAGTGGGACACAGACGCATCAAACCCCTCCATGAAAATTCCCACTTAAAAACCTGAACTTGTCACGTCTCTTTTACAGCACTGTAACTTCACAAAATAGTGTCTAGGTCATACGTTGGGCATATTGTTTTACTCAGAAGTATAATTTGGGAAATTTTTATGACAGTGGTACATATTAAGTGTAAGAAATACTCTGCAAAAATGCAACCTATATGTAAAAATTCAATTTTTTACCCCCCCTCACCACAAACATTGACATAAATTGGTGAAACAATGGTGACAAGTTAAGGCACAATATACATCATATAAGATACCATGGGGTGTCTGCTTTATCAAATGAAAGCCCTTTGTGTGGTTATTTGAACAGTCACACTGCTAGAGTACCCTAAAATGAGACATAGGCCCGTCAAATCCATCTACGAAAATTCTAACTATAGAAACTGAAATAGCCTTGTCTCTTATATGGCACTGTAGCTTTACAGAAAAGTGCCAAAGGCATACAATGGGGGTATCGTTATACTCAGCAGATGTAGCTTAACACAATATGGGGTTCTGTGCAGGAATAGCACCCACCAGCTTTACGAAATACACATTACAAAAACCTTGTTATATGTGTATAAGCCAAAATAAAGAAAAAAGACAATTTTACTCCAATATTTAGCAGAAATTGGCGATGAAATGGCTACGCAAAAAATTTCAAACTAACCTTAGGTGAATAGCCTGTGATATCTACTTTATATAAATATATACTTTTGTGCGGCAATTTTGTTTTCTGTAATGGCTACTAAACCTACAAGACAAACATACCAAATTCTAAAATTGTTGCAAATTGAAATTTTATTTTAGTCTTTGAATTTTGTGACCTGTAGCTTTCAAAATAAGCTGAAATCCTATACATATGATGTACTCTATAAATCAAGACACATAAATTAATTTATTTTGAATTACTTTTTCTAAGCTGGACATATTATGCACACGCTATTATTGCCAAAACTGTGAAAATAAATTTTTGTTTGTTTGTTTTTTCACTTTTTTGGAATTTTTATATAATTAATGAGAATGTATCTATGTATATGTGACATCAAATGAAAGCCCTGTTTGCCCTCTAAAAAATGATGTATAATATGTGTTGGTGCAATAAATGATGGAAATGCAAATTGCGTTTGAATACAAACAGCAGAAAAATGCAGAAATGGCCTTTGTTCTTAAGCGTAAGACAAGCTTCTGAAGCTGTGTCCTTAAGGAGTTAAATTAATACATACATGTTTATGTTAATGCATACATGTATTATATCTCATGTCTCATATCCTATGAAGGTAATATTTCCCATCATGAACTTGGCATCTTGTTTCTCATTGGCTACTCAGTTTCAATCTGTATTTGTCTATACATTTTACAAAAAGCAGTAAATATATATATATATATAATTTATTTTATTTTTTTATGAAATTTCAAAATGTCTTAAAACTAGCTAAATTATCCAACGATCGGTTGCGGTGCCACAAGGGAAATTGATGAGCTTCAACGCGTTGTAATTGTACATCGCCACAAAAAAACTCCCAGATATCACAATTATTACAAAAAAGCATCATGGCACAATTAAGTGTAGCTGTGAAACGTGCTCAGAGAATTATTGGATTGTATGCACAGTATCTAACAAATGATACACCTACGGTGGCTAGCGAAATCTATTGGTGCTACACAAATAAGATGTAATCATAATAATTGCCATTTTTACTGGTTTCTCTTTTCAGCATAATACGATGCTATATTAAAAGAGGAGGGCGTGATTTACAAGCACTGAGCATCTTTGGAAGTAGGAGCGCTGTGTCAGTGTTTCACCTTCAAAACGACAGAGAATGTTAACGTAGTATAAGAGGTACGCAACATGACAGATGCACTTTTATGTATTCCTGTCACAGGAACAGCTTTCTCACAGCAACAATGAGTTTGGAGAGCAAAGCAGTATCTTTTTTTTTTTTTTCAGCAACAGACGAGAAACAGAATATTAACTCGACACCACTATTATCATTTTGTGTTAGTAAAAGAAAACCGTTTGCTGTAGGCTTACATCAGCTTTCTGCATTGTCTTGTGACTACGCCACGTATGGATGGGGATAAGATAAGAATGCAATTTTGTACCACTCATGGAATACAGATTAGTCTTGTGTTTCTCTAGCCGGTTAACAATAGCCTGTCAATACAATGTCACTGGGTAATCTCTGAAAGGCCAGCTTGTCTTTACCGAGATACATTGTGGCATTGTTGTTTTATTTAACTTGTAACAGCAGTGTTGCTATACCCTTGTTATATTGAAAGGTTAAATAGAGGTATTGCTAGCTCTAACTGTAGATTGTACATTAGTAGCAGTTTAAACTACTTAGGACTGATATCTCATGTAATTAGAGGATGTGTTTATTTAAGTCATACCAAGCACTGATAGGTGTATAATATCAAGCACAAGGCATATAGCCATGCAATCTACATACATTGTCAGCAGACTACACAAACTGCAGAGGTCAATGACTTTCAGCAGAAGAGAATAATATTGTATTTCCAGTGAGTCCATGTTTTGTTATATTTTTTATTTGTTTGCCTGATTACGCTTCCTTGATCCGCGGTAAGTGATGGTAGCTTCAGGTGGATGTCAACAAGTCATCCGCAAAGTTGTCAACCACACAATGTCACACAACAGAAATGTCAAATGGTAAAGTAAATGCTATGTAAAAATAACCATGACTCTGAATTTGGGAAAGCAAGAATTTTACCTGCCTGACTGCATAATGACAACTGTAAGGTCCCATGCTGGAAGTATAACAGTCTAGGATTATTAGTCATCGTGGGAAATAAGTCCCTTGATGTCCCAATGAACAACCTAATCTAAAGCATACATTCTAGATAATTCTGTGCTATCAATCAGCAACATTGCATTTAGTTTGCTTTTTGTTTTAATTCAGTGTAAGAAAGTCACTATAATATCACATTTTTTAAATGTTATTCCTTTTCAGCACTGCACTCCCTTCAGAACTGGCTTCAGTTTCAATGGAATTTAGGCTTCCCAAACCTATCTTTGGTTAGAAACATTACACGTGGGTTCAAACACAAATCTTTCATGCAATCGCCATTGCAATTTATGTATGTACAGTGCATCCTCAGTATCCATTTCCATAATGAACTGCCACACATGCACAATAGTGAGAGTTTTGTAAAAAAAAGAAACTGGATTCGGGCTGAACACGATACACTATCAGTTCCTGCCAGTGATCTGGCCATTGTTGTTTATTCTCTATACATTCCAAGACTCTACATACTTGGCATCCAGGGTCTTTAATGTTATTTTAATTATTCAATAATCATCCAAATTGGCTGCTATTTGTCAGCTGGTGAGACCTCACTTGGAGTATTGTACACAGTACTGGAGACCGTATCTTCAGAAGGATATTGATACCTTAGAGAGGGTTCAGAGAAGGGCTACTAAACTGGTTCATGGATTGCAGGATAAAACTTACCAGGAAAGGTTAAAGGATCTTAACATGTAGCTTGGAGGAAAGACGAGACAGGGGAGATATGATAGAAACATTTAAATATATAAAGGGAATCAACACAGTAAAGGAGGAGACTATATTTAAAAAGAAGAAAAACTACCACAACAAGAGGACATAGTCTTAAATTAGAGGGACAAAGGTTTAAAAATAATATCAGGAAGTATTACTTTACTGAGAGGGTAGTGGATGCATGGAATAGCCTTCCAGCTGAAGTGGTAGAGGTTAACACAGTAAAAGGAGTTTAAGCATGCGTGGGATAGGCATAAGGCTATCCTAACTATAAGATAAGACTAGGGAGTAATGAAAGTATTTAGAAAATTGGGCAGACTAGATGGGCCGAATGGTTCTTATCTGCCGTCACATTCTATGTTTCTATGTTTCTATGTTTCTATTTAATATTTCCCATTTGGGTATTATTTTAAGGTCATTGATAGAGAACATAAACTGAACATTAATACCGTATCATTGATACATTCTCATGTTTAGATGTTAAAATCTGAGGACTATTCATTGAACTATTTGTACACACATTTCAAAGTGAAAATTGTTAAGATCGGAATCTTATTGGAAGTACTGTGAAAAACAGCAGATAATTTATACTAATACTAAATATAGTATCCACTTCACTTCTTTACAGCATGTTAAAGTTCACTGCCATTGTCTAACACATTCAGAACATAATCTAATTGTTTTATTTCAACATATTTTATGCCACATGGATTTGAAGAATAATACCCTATTATTCTGGAAATAGTCAGAAGCGGATTTATTAAGTTGTAGTTTACTATTGGTCTGTTACTTTATTATAAACTAAATACTTGTTTTTATCTGAGTCTTAATTAGACACTACAATTAATTACATCTTGAAATGTGAGAAGTGGCTAATCACTCCACAAATTTCAAAGCCACACAATCTTAATCTGTTTCTTTTTTCATTCACTATGTCACCAAAACATTCAATATATGTTTTCTAATTAGTCTTTGAGGGCTAACAATTTAATAGCATGTTTCAAAATACAGGTTATAGGTCTGAATATTGCTTTGTTCTTAATGTCACGTTCGCATAGCTGTTAAATTCAGCATGTGTAAAAAGTAAAAAAAATATATTCACATATGAGGATGTGCCAACATACTTTGTGCACCCAGATGACCTGAAGTGCTAAGTGCCACAAACCTAGTAAAACAAATGTATATACACGTTTTTTTAAATTAATTAGCAGACATACGCTGAACTGACCTATCAGCATCTATTATCCCATGTGTATCAGAGAATCAGGGTGTCAAAGTTAGACATTCCAACACGCAAACAGTGTGGCAAGCTCAGAAGTATTACCTGGCCTTAGGGTGGCTCGATTTAAAGGACCACTATAGTGCCAGGAAAACATACTCGTTTTCCTGGCACTATAGTGCCCTGAGGGTGCCCCCACCCTCACAGTCCCCCTCCCGCCCGGCTCTGGAAAGGTAAGTTTTTAATGGGTTAAGCCTTCCCCCTAATCCTCTAGTGGCTGTCTCATTGACAGCCACTAGAGGCGCTTGCGTGCTTCTCACTGTGATTTTCACAGTGAGAGCACGCAAGCGTCCATAGGAAAGCATTGTAAATGCTTTCCTATGCGACGGGCTGAATGCGCGCGCAGCTCTTGCCGCGCGTGCGCATTCAGCCCAGGAGGAGGAACGGAGCCGGGCGGGAGGGCGGGAGGATTAGGGGGAAGGCTTAACCCATTAAAAACTTACCTTTCCAGAGCCGGGCGGGAGGGGGTCCCTGAGGGTGGGGGCACCCTCAGGGCACTATAGTGCCAGGAAAACGAGTATGTTTTCCTGGCACTATAGTGGTCCTTTAAATCGAGCCACCCTAAGGCCAGGTAATACTTCTGAGCTTGCCACACTGTTTGCGTGTTGGAATGTCTAACTTTGACACCCTGATTTGACTGCTATGTTTATAAAAAAAAGGGTTAACCCTAGAAGGACCTGGCACCCAGACCACTTCATTAAGCTGAAGTGGTCTGGGTGCCTAGAGTGGTCCTTTAATGTAATAATGTAAGGTTAGAAACAAGCCTAGCTCAGGATAGGAGACAGATGGATAAACAAGTATGATGATGCCAAGGGTCAAGAATATCAGAAATCAAAATAAATATTGTCTGTGCACCAATATATAGGACTTTAGAAACTACCTGGAGATCGTGTTTATTATGTTTAAATGAGTTTCATACTTTTTATTTACATTTTCTTATAAAATAGAACCTTTTTCCAATTATACACTTTTGCTATACAAAAGAAACCAACCCTTTCTGGTGAATATAAGTGGGAATTGAATTACTAAAGAATTCTGAGATGTGAGAATTTGTCTCACACTGTACTATGACAACTTCACAAGCAGAGATAAAAAGCAATATTGCCAATAACTGGAATAAATTGCTGATGCCTTTCACCAGTACCATTTATATCTGTTGTATTACATTTAGTTTGCTCTAACTGTATTTTGTGCTGAAGTTGAATTTTTTTTTTTTTTATCAGTTTCAACAATTATAGCTATACTTCATTATAACCAAACGGAATGCTTTACAGAATATAGATTTTTTTTTTTTTTGAATCAGCACATTTGCTAATTTGCAAATCCTCTGATAATTTCCTTCATTTTAATTGTACTGCAAAATCACAGCATTTCAGAAGGATTCTATCAAAATGCTAGGGATCTGCATATTTAGCCAAATTGTTCGCAGATCAATAGTTTTAAAATCTCTACTAGAAAAAAAATACATTTTTCTTTCATTGTGTTTTATGATACAAATATGTTTAACCCTTTCATATGCAGCTACAGGTTTATATGATTTTTAGATAATAATTATTACCGACAAATTGAGAAATATATTATAAGTAGAACATTTAATGATGCATTTAGCATCAAACTGATCATAATTTGTCTGAATTTTGGGCGATTATCAATTCACCTGAATTCTGCAACTCTGGACAAATCATGAAACAAACAAAATGGACAATGGACGCGTTGTTTTGTTTGTATCATAATTCAGAGTTCCATCTGTGATACCACAAAAAAGATGATTGAGGGTATAAAATATGATTGATGGGACAATGTTGATTGTATTCCCAGATCAAGTGGGGAGTAATTAACAGTACGAAAAAAAGGAGGAGCTGTAAAATAATATTAAAAAAATATTATATATTTATTAAATATTTAATAAACATATAATATATAAATCTATAAATATAGATGTTTATTTTTTTTTTATTTACACACGATATGCGAATTATTAAATGGCAAGAAAATTTCCTTATTGGTGTACTGCCAAATATATACATAATATTAATTTTATATTTTCTGGATGATCTGCACTTGAGGGTTAAATAATCCACATGTATGGTGTTTAATAAATACAATCAAAATAGTGTATGGCGCTTCACAATTAATATTTCAAGAGTAATGTAGGTGGATGATGTGACTGATATAAAAGTGCTTCCCAGTGGCACCAAACATAAAAAGTCAAAGATTAACAAAATATAAACAAAATATACCAGTCTACATGCACTATGTGCATGTAGACTGGTATATTTTGTTAATCTTTGACTTTTTATGTATGGTGTTTAGTCCAGCAGGAATTACAGAAAATAACAGAGAATAACACTCTAATTTATTCTTTATAATTACAAATAAACTTTTAGTTTAAAAATATATTTTAAAAAATTTAAATAAAATGCCACATGGATAAAACAAAAATCACCTGATTCAATTGTTGTCAGGATTTATTTATTTTTGACAAATTGATTCAGATGGACTGAATTTTTTTTTTTTTTTGCCATGCACAAATCTAATATCAACAATGTGACATCAATCAACCTCATAGTGATTAATGTTGTTGCAGGAAATATTAAATGAATAGCTCTTTCCACTGAATCCCGCTTTCGGTTAAGTCTTGGGATTTAATTGTTTATGATGTGCCTGAATATTGTCAAACTTGATGAGCATTTTATTTTTTTGAAATGTTTATTCATTATGAGCTCGTCACTAGAGGCCTCATTACAAAATCCCCCAACTCATTGTATATCCATAAGTACAACATGTAAAAACAGTGTCGTTTTAATAAAAAAAAAAGAAAAATATTCTACTAAAAGGGATATATGACACTTTAAAATATCTAATCCCAATAATTTTTTTTATTTTTTTTAAATATTAGTGAATAATAATTTATGTTGTATGACACTTTTTTAACAACATTAGCACTCACTGATTATTAAATGGTACTTATAATTAAATGACAGAAATGTAATATAGAATATCAAAGCTATGGTTTTGTTTTGAGATACACAATATAAGTGTCCTACTGGATTTGGCTGAGTGATGTAAGAAATTAGATATTATATGGAACCTATCATTGAAGATCATGTGAATGACCAATTATTGGGAAATATACACTCTTTTAAGTTGACTTCCACTTACCTTACCATTATGTGCTAGGAAGGACCAAAGCCCCAAACTGCATGAGTGGTATACCACAATTATTTTATGTTTGTTGCCGTTGCATGACTGGTGACTGGGCAGTTGCACATGTAACCTCTTACATCAACTGTCCGTTTCAACTGCAACATAACTTTATGGCTATACCAGTGGCGTACACACAATCCATGGGGCCCCGGTTTGAAACTGATCCCCCTCCCCTCCCTCTCTACCCCGATCCATGGGCCCCCCCGACACATACATACAGACACAGACATACATACAGACACACACAAAGACCGGGGTCCGCAAAACATGGCAGCGGATACACGGTCGCAGGGATCCACAGCTGCGACCGTGGTATGTACACCACTGGACTATACATCACATAGTAACTTGGTTAGTACAATACATACCTAATTATTTTTTTGCTATACAGTGAAGACAGTTGCACTTTAGGCAGTTGGCGAAAGAGAGAACTTTAATTTCCACTTATTGGATATTCTTTACATCTGCACATCAAATGTTTGATATATGTGGGAAAGCCACTGAAAATGTTAAAGGGACACTAGAGTCACCAAAACAACTTAAGCTTAATGAAGCAGGTTTGGTGTAATGATCTGCAGTCTCACTGCTCAATTATCTGCCATTTAGCAGTTAAATCACTTTTGTTTCAGTTTATGCAGCCCTAAGCACACATCCCTTGGCTGGGACCCGCACAGCCTGCTTGAAAACAAAAATTGTTTCATTTTCAATCAGATGTTATTTACCTTCAAAGTTTATTTTTATCTCCTGCTCTGTAAATTGTACTTTAATTACTTACATGAGGCTCCTGCAGGGTCTAGCAAGCTATTAACAGAGCAGGAGATAATGAATTCTAAATTAAATAGAATTTACAATAAAGAAAGTTTAAACATTAGATTTAATTTATATTTACAGGAAGTGTTTAGGTGGTGTAAGTCACGTGCAGGGAGGCATTACTAGGGATGTATAAACAAGGTGATTTAACTCCTAAATTGCTTTTGAACCATAGTTTAATGTTTACCATTTACACCCGATTGGCTGCTGTTAATGCAAGATATTTAAATGTAAATGTCTACAAAAATACATAAAGCTGCCTCCAAATGCAACTGTTCTCTTGCTTGTAAATGGTTTTTAGAAACTGATATTAACCATTTGGGGAAGTGTCATGATAAATGCAGTAAACTTTAACTTTAACAAATGAACGAGGGGAGCATGTGAAAGAAAAGAGATGTTTCTTAAAATACCTTCTCTCTAACTCTTCTCCATTAGTTATAACCTTCTTTTTATTTCCTGACATTCATTCTATGATGGGTATGATATCGTTAAGAAAGGAATAGGAAGTAGAGGAAGGATGGAGGACCCTGTCAGAAATAATTGTTATAGTGAAAATGCAAATGATTAATATCTAGATTTCCTCACTTCAACCCCCTTTAGCTTGCAGTAAGTGCTTAAAGGAACACTCAAATTGTAACCATTTAGTAGATATACCTGATAGGATAAAATATTGTAGTTAATCTTATACATGTACATTATTTAATATTTTTGACTTTTAAAATGTTATTTTTAAATATAAAAGAATATATATAGTGTCTCTGGCACTTAAGGTGTACCAGTTCAGGCCTGCTATAATCTATTGGTTTCTTTGCCTAACCAACACCGCTAACTGCTCAACTAAGTCACAAGTTTACTTTTTTTTTGTTAGCAGACTCACCAGCAACCATTTTAGAAAAATAGATATTCTATATTCTATAGTGTTCTATGACACCCGTAGAGTATGGACATCTCCCATGGAATATATATAAATGAAAAAAGAACCCATTAGTTAAATTCAATAAAACACTCACAATTTGGGAATAAACACAACTCACAAGTGAAGAGCTTCCAATTCAGCTCTTAGTAAAGGCATGAAGCGGTATATTTCCTGCTCATGAATATTGCTGTAATTGAGTCTTCTTCCATATTTCACAGTGTGGTAAACATATGGTGTAAAACAACCGTCATGGTTGTCATGTCCTGATGGCAGCCCTGCTCACACATTGAGAGTCATAAAGTATGCTTTACTTGTTAATAACCATGTGGGATGGGAGACCCAAGCCCTAACTGAGCGTTGTAAAATAGGTTAAACTAATTATCCAAGGAAGTCCTTTGTTCTTATCACATGACACAATAATCTTGGACATTCAAAGGGAAAGGCTAGTTCACCCCATCCCCCTGTGTTAATAAAAGCTTCAAACAAAAGTTATGTATACATCATGAGACCTAGTGTCTATAAACACATGTTAAATTGCCATAATTCCCTGGATCTTTCTTAGGGCATACAATGCAGCTTAGACTATAACTAATGTTCCAAAATAACACGTTACATAGATCATTCCATTTGGTCATATATCCAAAAATATTAAATTGTGGCCATATAAAGAGACCAGGTTCTAAATGCTGAAAAAGACTAAGGGTCTTTATTATATCATAAATTGTCTATTACACATAGTTTATCAACATCAATTTATATATTTCCCTTTGCTTAACAGGAGAATAAAGTTTCTTTACATATATAACAAAGGTATATAGTGATTTGCAGCACACTCAAAGCAATAGAATGTAAGTGGACTAAATCATCAGGTATACAATGAAGTTTTTATCACTAGAGCACACAGAGTATTTCATGGTAATAACTAAAGAGACAGGTGCTTTGAGCATTTCTGAAAAAGGTCTTTGAAAAGACATATCTGTATTATAGAACATAAACAGCATTTATGTGATGAACATAATGCGATTCTCATAATATTCTGGAAATTATTTAAAGGTCAATTTCATCAAAAGAATAAAATAACATGCTTTAAAAAAGATAAAGATGTAATGATCTTTTCAAAATATTAATAATTTACAAGGTAAATATACTTTGTCATGTGCTGCCAGAATGACAAAAGTGTGGGTGTTAATCTTACACACACATGACTCCCAATGAGCTCCCACCCCATGCATTGAGAGTGACCCTCATACATCTCCAAGCAGTGCAATCCTTCCCCATGATGTCATGATGCCCATACTGACTTAACGGAGCTACAGAGTAAATCTTGCAATAGAGAGAAGTACAATTAAATTGTGAATTCTTCTGAGACTTGGTGATCTATTCTGAAAAATATAGCTTTTGATAGAAAGTTGAGTTAACCCCTTAAGGACACATGATGGAAATATTCCGTCATGATTCCCTTTTATTTCTGATGTTGTGTCCTTTTTAAAAAAAAAAAAAAATGTTTTAAACTGGTCTGAGTTGAAATCTGAAAGCAAGTACCATTCACTTATTGTTAAAGGGACACTTCACTGCCCAAATACAAGCGGAATAAAAATCACCCCAAATAAAAACATCCATATATTTAACCCCTTAAGACCGGAGGGGGTACTATTATGCCCTATTTTAGGTGGCTCTAAACGCCGCCGGGCGTAATAGTACGCCCTCCGGTCTTTCCTTACTTACCCGGTCACCGGCGGTCCCATGCCGGCGATCGCGGTTGGGGGGACTCCCAGGGAGCCCCCCCGCAGCAGATCTTCCTCCTGCAGTCCCCCATGAGACCCTATGGTAGCCCAAGAATGAAAATTACCCCTATGATGGCATACCATTTGCAATAGTAGACAACCCAAAGTATTGCAAACGGGGTATGTCCAGTCTTTTTTAGTATCCACTTAGTCACAAACACTGGCCAAAATTGGCGTTTTTTGCATTTTTCACACACAAATAAATACTAACGCTAACTTTGGCCAGTGTTTGTGACCAAATGGCTACTAAAAAAGACTGGACATACCCCATTTGCAATACCTTGGGTTGTCTACTATTGCAAATGGTATGCCATTATGGGTGTAAATTTCATTCCTGGGCTACTATAAAGTCCCAAAGGCAACGTAACCAATCTGGTGAATTTCAATTTCAAATGTAACATGCTTTATTTGACCCTGTAACTTCCCAAAACGCCATAAAACCTGTACATAGGGGGTACTGTTTTACATGTGAGACTTTGCTGAATACAAATATGTGTATTTTATTGCAGTAAAAGCAAACAGTATTATGACATTGACAGTTAAAATGTCATGTAGAACTAAAAAAAAATCAAAACAAATCTTATTTTCTCCCATGTTTTCATATTAAATTATGTTTCATAGCTAAATATTTGATATTAAATGAAAGCCCTGCTTCCCCTGAATAAAATTATATATAATAAGGGTTGGTGCATTTAATATGAAAGAGGTGAATTACGGTTGGACAGACATGTAGCGCAAATGCCAGGTTTTGTTTACATTTTGTTTTGTTCACAACGTGTACATTTGGCTCCGTCCTTAAGGGGTTAATTATGCATTTCTTTCACTGGGGCAAATCTAAAAACAACTTGCAAACGTTGCAGATCTCTTGTCTGCAAGCTTTACAATCCCTCTCCTTCTAACCCCGCCCACACTTTCTGTGGCTGTCCCAATGAGAAGTCTTTCCAAGGCAGGTGCTTTGAGCAATTGCTACCTCTACAGTTTAGCTCCACTAAGCTAACTAACCAAGCCAGGAAGTAACAGGACCTTTGGTCTGCTTGAAAGTCAGGCGAGGGTGGGGGAGAGGACAAGGGGTAGTGTCCACAGTATAATTTATAAAAGTGTAATTTTCTATTGAAATGCACACTATTTTTTTCAAAATTAAAAATAATGAACACACGTTCATACATAAAGCTTTTTAACAACCTAAAGTGCTTTAGGGGTCTGCAAGCCCTTTAAGAATAGGGGGAAAATATTGATGTAAGACATATTGAAACAGGCCAACTTACCATCCTCATACTGCCGGGTCTTTACATATTTATAAGGTTCATCTATGCACCAAAACAACTTGAACTTAATGAAGCAGTTTTGATATATAGGTCATACCATTGCAATCTCACTTCTCATATCTCTGTCATTTAGTAGTTAAATCCATGTTGTTTCTCTTTATGCAGCCCTAGTCATACCTCCCCTGACTGTGACTTACACAGCCTCCATTAAAAAAAAGGTTTACATTTTTATCAGATCTTACTGCACAGTGTGTTTATTTTAGAAATTCTTATCTCCTGCTCTGTTAACCTTAACTTGCTAAAATGCTTTACTTGGGAAGAGGATCCCCTCTTTTTTTATATTTCAAAAAGTGCAGATTTCCTTATAAATTATCCTTCTCACACTCCCCTGGCTGTCAAGCAGCCAACAGGGCTTGTTACTTCCTGGTTGTGATTATCTCAGTAGAGCTAAACTCAAAAGACAGGGAATCAACCAGAGCAATTGCCTTGCAAAGACTTCTCACTGAGCTACATTGGGAAATCTGTGATTGGACAGCCACAGAAATTCTGGGCTGAGTTAGAGGGGGGTGGGGGGGGTAGAGGGCTTGCAAAGTCTGCAGACATTAATGCATTTGATAGATATTGCTGTATTTTTTGCATGATCAAATCATTATAGTTTTTGCACACAAAAAAATAAATGTTTTGCAGAATGCTGTACCATAAGCCAACCTCCTTAGCCCACCCCCTCATGCCAGAAAGAATTTCCTTATCAGAACTATGTACATTGAGTGAGCTGTTTATAATTCACAATCTGGCTGCAGACAGAGAAAGTTTAAACAGGTAATGATATCTTTACTATATGTCTACCTGGGTGTCCTTTCCTTCTAATACAAGTTGCGTTGTAGTTCAGGTCATTCAGTGCTGTTAGTGGCTGAGCTGTGTACATACCTTTGATAATGAAGTATTTTTCAGGCATGAAGGGCATGGGTTATGCTGCAGCATTCTGCAAAACATGTATTTATTTCATGCAAAAGCTATACAAATTTGAACATGCAAAATACAGCATATAAAGCGTATTAATGAGGCCAAACCTATCGAATGCATTTACATAGTATTGGTGCCAGAGTGACCCTTTAATTAAAGCTTGTTGACTTTTTGCAGGCCAGTTATCAACCATCAGTGTCTGCTCCTGGTGGAAAAGGCATGGACAGGTCAGCAGTCAACATTGAGCTGCAAGTGGTCAAACTCTAACAGGGTTAAGTACAAAAGTTAAAATTCAAAATTAATTTCAATGCTTCCATTTTGGCTTCTGCTTTGGCCTGAAATTTTAGTTTTTATCTGAATTCACTGTGCATTCTTGCTTTAGTGAATAACTGTTACAATTAAATATATGAATTTTAAACTTAGCCAAAACAGATGTGGCCACCTTTGTACTCCCTAAATGGATCTGTGGTGCAGTACTGGTAAAAAGTGATTACTCAGACTTTTGTCTGCTGTGACAGCAGAGTAAATTGCCCCCCTATTCCCATATAGCCATACTTAGCGATTTAGGTTAACAATTAAAGACCATGCAGATGTTTTGCTACTTCTTCATGCTGCTAGCATCCCCTAAAAAAATCATGAGCAAGGTTTATCCTACTTGACTGGTCCATTATTTGTACCACTTTATCATGAAAACAAAATATTTGTATTTTCATTGAATATGGGTTACTGGATTATTTTATGTGTACTTTTGCATCAACTTTACGGTTTGTCAGGACAAGGATTCGTGCAGTCTTGGAGCTCTCAATGGTAGGTGTCCACATCTAGAAGGTTTTCTTTTCTTCTCTCAATAAAAAGATGATAGCATTGAAGTGATGAAGTGATTGCGGAGGTTGGATAACTAAAAGCAAAACTTGCTCCTGTGCAACTAATAGCACAATAACACTGTACAGAAAATGAAAACACATTTCTTTTTTTTTTCTTTTTTTGACTTGGAGTCTTTCTTTGTTTGAAAACATAACATAAGTATAAAGAGAAGATCACAGCACAATCAAAACAACTTTCTATAAGCGGATGAACTCGGTCAGATATACAAAAGATTTCTTATAAGTTCAATATTTGCAGTGTACTTAATAGTATATTATATTAGTACATTGATGTACAAAGTTGGCTCAACGAAACAAAACCTATGACCAATTGTTGTTGAAAAGATAACTTTTTTTTTCCCTTTCATATAGATAAACTCCAATCTAGACAAATATATAAGGCAAAAATACATATACTTACAGAGAAAAGTGAGAGTAATATCTGCTAACAAAGGACAACAAAAAAATCTTGGAAGGAGCAGTGCCCACACAATTATTCATTACATTCCTTAGCACACGTGCTACCATGGGATTTACAAAAAATGGCTTCTGGGTTTTTTGGTGTTCTGAAAAATAAGGTGTTCTGAAAAATTATCTCTAAACTAATTTTCCTGGCTGTATGCACAGCTAGAACAGTTCTGAAAACAAATATATATATATATATATATATATATATATATTTCTAAAGAGGAATGAAACACAAAAATAATTTACAAAATATTGTGATTTATTGCAACATACCCAGTATTAGACTTCCCTATATGTAGTCACATTATCCTCACATTGCCACACACACAGACAGATGTGGTACATGCATATACTACAACATATTTGGTTATTATTGTGTGCTTCATTTCAATCTGTCCTAGTCTATCATAGCAGTGTCTCTAGGTCCCCCCCCCCACCCCATGCCAGGCTCTAGGGAGTTGAAGGGGTTAAATTTAGCTCTTTTTCCAGCGCCGGGTGGGGGACTCTCCTCCTCCTCGTCATCGGCTGAATGCACATGCGCGGCACGAGCCACGCGCACATTCAGCCAGTCCATGGGAAAGCATTCTCTATGGCTTCTGGCATCTTCTCACTGTGAGAAATCACAGTGAGAAGCGAGGAAGCGCCTCTAGCGGCTGTCAATGAGACAGCCACTAGAGGCTTGACTAAACTGAAACTGCTATGTTTATAGAAGAAAGGGTTAACCCTAGCTGGACCAGGCACCCAGACCACTTCATTAAGCTGAAATGGTCTGGGTGCCTATAGTGGTCCTTTAACATAAATATCTATATGAAAATGCACACGCAGAAAATTTTAGATTGCCAATTATAGAGACGTCTGGGTTATGGCTATAATTAGCGTTTCAATGGCAGTTTGGAACAAATGATAATTAAAATCACTGACCCCTCTTGAATCAAATCTGTTTTTTGACCACATATTTATATATATATATATTTTTTATTAAGTGGACTTTTTTTATTACAATTTTATGTATACATGGGATCAGCCAAGAAGGGGTTGATGAACTATAAATAACCATGCCTGACTTATTCACAATTGATAGATTTATTTTCCAAACCATGAATTATCAGATATCCCCAGAGAATCACATATTTAACTGCAAAATAACTTGGATGGATGCATAGGCAACTTGGATAATGTTTCCAATTCATTTACCCTGGCCATAATGTTAGAGCTCTCTGGTAAATTTCTGATAATGCACCATTAACAAATGATTTTTTTTTTTTACTGGTGATATAGGGCTGTGTGAGCACGAACTGTTTCTGCTTAGGGTTTCACCATCACACATTCATGGCTTCAATCCCTAAAGCCAAACCACCACCCAGCTACACCACCGACTAGGTATATTAATTTGAAAAACAACTTAAATATGATTATTCATATGATATTAATGTATACAAATTACATTTAAAATTTCTCATTATAAAAATTCAACATTTTTCATTTAAACAATCAAAATCAAATAAATTAAAATAATTAAATAAATAATTCCAAGCTAAATTTTACCCAGAAGTGCAATGGTTGAAAGGTAACATTATTTACATATTAGGGCATTTGATCTTCTAATTTTACATGCATCAATGCTTATTTTGGAAAAGAGCTGTAAGTGGCAATTAAAACATTTTTGCAGCTGCAGGATTTTTCAAAAATATATATTTATGAAGTTGAACTCTTATTTCTGAAAGGCAAATAAAAAATCTTGTCTGTTCATTGCCAAGAATCTTTCCCCTGGCATGAAATCACCAAAGTCTGCGGAGTCTGAAAGGTGAAATATTTTTTCTTTTATCTGACACATGTAATAATATTCTGTGACCAAGTTTTTTTCCAAAATGAAATAGAGGGATATACGCTTGCCTCTGTAAAACACTCTTAAATTATTTGAGTTCAAGACTTAAAGCAGTGTTTTTTACAGAAATATTCTATAAGTATTTATACAATAGTTGCCAAGAGCTCTTCACCATGAAGTAGGTAATTTGCAAACATGGTACAGCAAGATTAACCCCTTCACTAAAAAAATCATAGCTTTACATTTATTAAAAATGCAATGGATGGCCGGTATATAAATCTAGGATAAATTGCAGATTTGTGTACATTGTTGTTCGGGGATAAACGCATAACATAGTTGAAAGTTGGGCTTACTTTCATGACAAATCCTTCTGTAAACAAAGTGCAGTTTGGAACTATGCCACCACAATATAAAAATAATATTTGTATATCAGTGTAATTCCCACATACATGAAGTAGAGTTGCACCTCTGATTTCACAGACTGCTTTTACAATAAGCAAAATATCTCTGCATTACACTCAGAGTTCACTCTATGTTTCCTTTCCTCTTTGGTTGCTATAATGCAGCTATGAAGTTTAACCTACAAAGACCACTGTGCTGTTCGGGAGGATGAGCTGTATAAAGAATCATTGCACATTATTCTTATTTCTTCATAAGGTGGTAGCATACACTGGAGGAAATAGGAAGGTAAGTGGGATTTGATTGGCTAATTTCACAGAGTTTGGTGGGAAGAATTCAAGTACCTCTGGAGCCTAGGAATGGTCTGTATCCAAGAACATACACCCTAACCAAACACCTGGAGAACTAAGTGTACCTCTGGCCTGCAGCAGGCACAGAAAAAGTAACACAATTTTTATGTTAAATGTACTAATAGAGTCCAAGGGATATTTGAGTAAAATAATATTTTGAACAGGAAATAAAATCCATTCGGTGGGAGAATTTCATTTCTAAATATAGCATTTGGCTAGAATACAACGGAAAAGGCAGTTGCGAATGATGAAGTAGTATCTTTTTGCTAGTTTTTATCAAGGTAATTGCCTTTCTGCTTGCATACATACCAAGTGTCCCAGTACCACCCACACAAATCCAGCAGTAGTTGCAGTCATTGTTGTTAATGTCCTTTTATTCTTCCATAGATGTGACTAATAACTCCCAAAAAATCACAGAGCAAATGCTTTCTGTGATTGCAGTAATAGACGCCTTTTCTGGAAATGTTTATATTTTTCACTGTTAGGATCACTGCAGTCGATGCTGCACTGAATATCTAAAGAGCTTAATGCTGTCCAACTGTAAAAAATAAATTGCCCTCAAAACGTTCTGTTGATGAATGCTGATTAAAACATGCATCTCACTTTGACATAAAATTCTGTTAGTACCTGGGGTGAGCCATACATTTTTCAATTTATAAATCTGGACCATGTTCCTGAAGTGATAAAACTGCCCATCTTTTGTATTCTGCAAATTGGCCTTCAAGCACTTTAAGTTCCTTTGTCATTATTTGTGAGACTATTGCATTCTGTTACTTGTTGTCCTTTAACTATATTTTGAGTCTAGAAAAGTCCTTGTGCATTTCTGTTCCCTGACAGCCTGTAAGGATTTTTTTTATCTTCACTGAATTCGAAATTATATTTTACAGCATGCAAAGGAATAAACAGACAGAGATATTTTTATAAAAAAAAGTTTTGATTATTTTGGAGCGTATGCACTGATTTTAGACTTGAGATTGCTCTTTTTTTAATTAATACAAAAAAGCAAAAACAAAGCACTCTATTGAATTTACAATATATAAAAAAACAAACAAAAAAACAACAACCTTAAAACAAATGGTAGTATGGGAGAACGTATTTTGTCCAATACCAACTCGTCATTGTTTTCATTGTCATACATTGTTTATTTTCCGATCCTTATTGTTAACCCACATATTGAACCAAACATAAGGGCAAACAGTCAATACTTTATAATAGAAAATGCAATTTTGTATTCCCTGCCATATGTAACATAATGTGTGATATAGCATGATTGAATGACTCACTGATGAAAGCAACCTGTGAAAGGATGGCTGACTTTATCAATAATGCTAAATGGTGACATATTGTCTTATATAACCTAATAAGGGAAACATCAATATAAGTTTCCAAGGTAAATAAATGAGGAGGGGATCAATTAATTCTCTTTGTGAGCTATTCTAGGGTGTTAATATTGACTTGTTAGCACATTGTTATGTGATTGTGTTCAGGGTCCTATGAGATTACATCTGTTTAGCAGGATTGTGTCCAACATCTAGTCTTTGAGAATAGATTCCCATGTTTATTAATCTACACGCTGGGTTATTTTGTGGTCCACAAACATGTTTATTTAAAAAAAAAACAACGCATTACCGTGCAATGCATTAGAGTGGTGCATGATTTGCAGCATATGTGCATATTATATGGTTGCTGTAAATAAATTATAATGTATAAAAATATGTAGTTTTTGTCTTTTAAAATAAAATACAATCAGGTTAAATGTAACTTTGACTATTTTAGTTTTTATGGTAATGTACGATATTACTGTCAAGATTCCTACTATTATTTAGAATGTAAGCACGTTTGAGCATGGCCCTCAACACCCTCTGTACCTGTGCGTCCAACTCGTCTTGTTACTAATACTTTTCTGAAAGGCCATCCATTGTACAGCGCTGTGGAATTTGTTGGCTCTTTATAAATAATAACTATATTTTCGCTGTACTAAGCATGAGATGATATTTGAAGGGGATCATCTTGTTCCAGAAATGTCTTTATATTATGTTTATTTATCCTTATATTTCGCAAATAAGTGTTTGTGAGATCTGAAAAAAATTAATATATGGAGAAATTTGCAGTGCTGCATTTATCTCAGTCGTAGAACTGGCTGCCTCCATCTTGGCTCAATGTTGATCATTGTTATAAGGTCCGCCCTTTGTACCTGTCAGACACCATAGAGAGAGTAGAGTAAGGATGAGAAACAGAACTAATGTTTCTGCTTTTGCTTTTACTTGGTACTGTGTCCCAGGACTGAATTGGATTTCAATGTCAATTAAAACATCTTTCATGTGACATGTTAAAAGAGCTAAACTGGCTGTGGCTGGAATCCCGACACACCCTTCATCTTTCCAGCCTTGTGCATAAGAGCGTTTCTGGGAAGCTCCCACCCTACCTGAGGAGAATGCTCTCCCCAGCTGTTCCCACCTCCTATAACCTCTGATCCAGTACGAGCATGATATTTAGCAATACAAAAATAAAGTGGCACAATCATCATTTTCCTACAGAGCACGGCAAATTTGGAATAACCTCAGGGACACAGTCAAATCTTCATTCAATCTAAAATCTTTTAAGAGATCTATGGTAATATACCTCAGCACAGAATGCACCTGTCATGGTTGAATATATTTATTACCTGTTATGTATTGAATTTATATATGTGTGTATGTATATAAATATATATATATATACTTTGTATATTGTATTTTTTTTTTATATATTGTACCCTATTGTAACAATGCAATGTTTTGTGGACACAGGACATACTTGAAAATGTGAGAAATCTCAATGTATCAATCCTGGTAAAATATTATATAAATAAATAAATATACATTTAAATGAAAATGGAAAATCAGTGGGCAACAATAATGGGATTTTGTACAATTGTGCACTTCCTCGAGAAGTGTTGGTTCTAATTTAATATTGATGAATGGGGGGCCTAACGCCCAAATCCTTTATGATAGATAGATAGATAGATAGATAGAGATAGATAGATAGAAAGATAGATAGATAGATAGATCGATAGATAGATAGATTTATGAATGTATGCATGTGAGTGTGTATGTGTTTGCGTGTGTGTGTGTATATATAATTTAGCATGAGGACTAATAATAAGTGTAGGAGCCCCTAAGGCCAAAATAATTATATTAACTTTGCATCCTCATCTTTGATTATCTACATCTTTATTGGCTATTTGGAAAAAATTGCTTGTTCTATGAACCTCCATACCCTACAGGTCATGTGACAGTGCACCCATGCTCCCCCTGCTCGCTGTAATATTAACCCACACTTCACCATAATTATATTGGCCATGGAAAAAACAGGCATAATTTGTTGATCTTCCTATAAAAAAAAGGTAGTGAAGTGGTTAATCTCAGCTAATACTGATTCCCTTGAAATTGTATTTTTTACTTTAATAATTGCAAAAAATGTTCTAATTTGAAATTGTAGTACAACACTTATGCTACAATAATAAATATTTAATGTCCATCTATTACAAGCTGGTGATGTGTTCTGCAGCTAACAGATACATTGTAGGCTGTGTTATAAAAAAGGCTTGCATTGTCGCTGAGGAAAATGCTGATGATGCTGTGAGTACATGCTGGGCTTTAAGACACCTTATGGCGGATTCAGGTGAGCTTTTAAGACATGCTTAGCTTGAAATGATTTAGAAAATCTTGACTTTAGCCTGACCTGACTCAGGTTTTAAATCATGGTGGAAGAAGATTTAATAGGATTGGTACTCAGATTGCATGTAATATGCTGGACAAGTTATACAATAAATTAACCCATGGCAAACCCCATAACAACTACAAAGAAAACAATTTATTCTCAATAATATATTTCTATTTCCATTATCAAACCTTTTTTTGTGGCAATTCATTTTACAGTCAAGTACAAAATACCCCAAAAGCTTTTTTTGTAAGATCCATAAAAGAAATAGTCAAGAAAGTAATCTATAGAATATAACAATATTCTGTATGGATCTATATGACTATTAGTGATAACTGTCCTCCCTCTGCTTTGACACTAATTATAACCCCAATTATTTAGGTATGTCTGAATATATCACAGAGCTCCACAGAAATAAAACTCAGAGTAATGTGTGGTGTGTGTATGAGTGAATCACAAAGCTCCACAGCAATAAAACTCCCCGTAATGTGTGGTATTTATGATAGAACCTGGAATTAGTATAAATGGCTCATTCAAGTAATAGGATGCTGCCAAGAATGCTGTGATAAACTGTTGCCACTAATTGTTACGATGTTGAGGGATATAATGGAGATGTAGATCCATTTGGTTTTTCTGCACGGTGAAAGTCAAAAGTCAAATATATCTCTGGGGAACATATTGCAAACCAAAGGGATTAATAGGTAATAGGAGTAGGTGATGTGTAGAGTCCCACAAGGGGAAACCAACATCAGGAGAGCTCCACTGTATAAGAAATGAGGAAGGGAGGCCCTACCTTTAATTAATCTAAGGATAAAAAGGGATATGCAAACAAAAAGTATAACTTGAAAAAAGGGGAGATCTACTAAACGGTGCCCAGGGGATCAATTGTCTGGAGTACTAGCTTGCATCTAAGTTCCAGTTCCCCTAGTGTCCGACTGACAGGAAGGTAGTGTAAACGAGGTTAGGGAGAGAGAAGAGGCATAGGGTCCCCAGAGAACAAGGAACCGGGTAATCAGGTCTAAACGCAGATGAAAAGCCTCACACAAAAAATAAATAATTAAATAAATCTCTCAATTCACCCTAAGAGTTACCTCAACACCATGGTCTAACCACTAGTATATATTGTCTACCTGAACCAACTCTCCCTACTAAAGTTATAAATAAATAAATAAACACCTAAAAAATAAGTGGTAACAAAAATAAAAAAGTGCTACCAAGTGCAGAGATTAAAGAAAAAGAAAACGCTTGACGCGCGTTTCAGCGTGTTTAAAACGCCGTCGTCAGGAGCCAAAGGGATTAATAATACATCACTGCAAATCAGAAAATTCACCATGTTTTTATATCTAAATAGCTTATTCAATAAATATCGAGCAGTAATGTTTGTATTTTGCCTAATCTAAGCTACATTTAAACATTTTTAAATCTCAACTAATTTTGCCTGCATTGTATAATTTAATGAGTAAACTCTAATTTATTAAACGTTTATAACCACTTTAATAAAAATATTGATTAATCATCATTCAAAAACTATTGCGTTTGATACAATACATACTTTCTTCATTTATTCACAGCTCGTTTTTGTCCACTCTTTCCCTGTTGATAGGCTCCAGCTAAACCCAGGAGAAGGAAAATAATGAAACTCTCTGCCGAGTAGACCTTGCATGGACAACTATGTGATGAATGCCAATAATCTCTACAATTCATGCTGCAGGGCTGTTTCAGTGATGGATAATAAATCTAAAAAAAAAATCTATATACTTTTGGTTTGTCAGTATCATTTTCCTGAATATTTTCAATGGACGATATTTGGATGAGCCAAACCACCACACGGACGACAATCGGACTTTCTGACTATTAAGCATCGGTTTGCGTTTTCTTTTTATCCGCTTGTACAAACACCATTGTCAAAAAACGTTCAAGACCTTCTGGATTTAATATGATCCTCAACAGAAAATGCCTGAATTAGTCACAAGAACTATTTACAATGAAAATGTTAATTTCTTAATAGGCAATTAAAATAATTTACAAATATGTGTTGTTTTTAGTTTAGAACTCCAGCTATCATGTAAAGTTTAATGCAATTCTAATTAAACTAAGCGTGCTAAACAAACAAATAATTTTCATCTGTTACAGTTAATTAAATGACAAAAAGAGAAAAAATAAGCATAAATAGCTAAATCCAGAGTAGTAAAATCAAGATCCCTATAGTGATTTCAACACTCGTACATATCACTAATGAAAGAAAACAGTTGAGAACAAAAAAGGCTTATTAAAAGGTTTAATTTGCTGTGACAATGGTGTCTGCAGGCTCCTAGTTTCAGCTGTCCCCAATTATTGTGTTATGGTTCTTTTTTTATAAACCCCACACGGTCATAACCTTGTATGAAATACTCTCAGTACAAAGATTATGCCAGTTTGAACTTCCATTTTCTCGTTTCCAAACAAACTTAATGTGATAGATCTTAGATATTCCACACTACATTCGCCACCGCACATTTTATCCCCTGAGCTGCAAATGCATATATTACATATATTTATATATAAAAATTAAAAATTTCATCTGGAATCTGTATGAGAACTAGATTTAGAATTTAAAATGTCAAACGTATTTTTAGAAGCAACAATGAAACTCGATTATGTCATTTGGACCAAGCAGAGGGAAGAACATAAACTGATAAAGGTTTGTGTCCTTTTTCATATATGGAAAACACAGTAAGAAAATAATTATCACTCGACTTGTATAGATCATCTGGCAGTGTGCAGAAAGGGTGCTCATCAAGGTATGCTCACCACATAACAAGCAATGTTTCATTTGTTTTAAAGATACAGGTTATTTACTAAATTGAGGAATCAAGGTGAATTCAAAGTGAATTTCAAATTTAAGGTCAAAATAGATGATCTGGAAAAATTCTCTAAGTCAAATGTGCTTCCAATTCAGCAACTTTGCCCCTAAATTTTAAATTCACTTTAAATTCACTTTAAATTCACATTGACTTCCCACTGTAACGAATAACCCTGACAATTTGCACGAGCTTCCCTATTTAGCTGACAAAAACCCCTGCTTATAATACAATGTCTTTTTATGGCCGAGTGCGACTTTTACCATACTATGGGTTTCTCAATAAGTGCATATATCTTATCTGTTTTAATTACCGATAGAAAAAAATGTTCCTAACTCACTATTTTTGTGGAGGAACTGGACTTTCCCATATTGTGAGAAAATAGATTGTATTCCAGGTCCATCACAATCCTTTCCATCCCAAACCCAGGCAAGCATTGGGTTACCATACCAATGTTTAACAATAGCATCGGTCCAGGAATCCATACAGTCTTGCTGCATCATGTATATTTCCAAATGGATTCTCCCAATTTTAAGGACACTACTTTGAGAATAATATCCTTATTCACAGGGTAAAATGCTGGTTATGTGAGTAACACCAGGTTCCAAAAAACCATGACCATGCAAACACGACTTCCTCTTCCATGCCTCTAATTCTTCAGCACAGCGTAGAGCGATTTTTTTTCAGAAGAACCCATGTTTGTTGACAATTTCGTGAATCAATACAACAGTTAGGATTATTTGCTTAAGTAAGAATTCAATGTGAATCAAAAGTGAATTTTAAGTTTAAGAGTAACTGAACGGAAATCATAGTCGACTTAGAGAATTTGTCCAGTTTGGCTCTTTTGATTTTCAATTTAAATTTACTTTGAAATCTTACCTTAGTGAATAACTGAGTATTTTTTGAAAAATATATTTCAATTTAACCCCTTAAGGACACATGACGGAAATATTCCGTCATGATTCCCTTTTATTTCTGAAACTGTGTCCTTAATTTACTGTTCTGAATGTAAACAAGCATTACCTCTGTATTTACCTTTCATTTTTTTAATAGTAATATTTAACATTCTCCGTTCTTTCTACCTTAACCTGGGCAGATTAAATCTCCCTGAATTGTGTAAAATATGTCCACCTTCTCAATGATCCCAAATATGAAATATGTGAAATATTTAAATTGCCTTCTGCTATCGGGCAAAAGGGTGATTTATAACAACATAATGTGCTATTAAGGGGTAAATTGCTAAATAAGAACCAGTCACCATACAGACCAATAGAATGTTTCTCAGCATTTAGTACTTTATATAGAGAATAGTAGCTGTTTTTGCCTAATAGTTTTATAATATATGCATCTTTTTTGTTTCTGTTTAAAGCATCTTCCCTGAGCAATTTATCTTCTCATTCTATTTATTGCCCAGGGTAAATGATGCCTCTCACCAATTTAAGGCATTTAACATCCCTATACTCACAAAACGTCAAAAAGCAGAGGCACATTCATAAAATTAAAGTTGTTTAATGGAAATTTGACAATCAGTTCATATAGATGAAAATGTCTTATTTAAAATTCTCTTATAATATCTTCTTCTGAGGTTTAAAAAAAAAAAAACGTAAAAAATATGCACAAGATGTTCTCATTAATTTGTACCAAATTTCTGGAACAAATATATCTGAATTTTGCTACTTAATTGCAGTATACAGAATGAGTAATCAATAACTGTCCCCCTTTCAGATGGAGCCACATAGGGTTATTCATGAAACCATAAATTGTCTAGAATTAGTTCTGCTACTGCGAGTTTAAGGCCAAAACAAATGCACTGGAAACATATCTGACTCTGTAAATCTCTCAATTAGTCTCTTTTGACCTAAACTTTTCAATTCCTGTCAAATTCAAGACAATTACTGCTTTAGTTTATAACCCTAAATATGGATTAAGGAAACCATATATTATCATTTAAAAGACCATAATATATATCTTCTATATTTGATTTATATTTCTAATCGTAGCAGATGGCCCTTTGAACTCATACTGGATGGAAGTCACATATTGTTCCATATATTTGAAAACCAAATGTTTTTAATTGCTGCATATTTTATTTTTTATTAAAAGTGTCTTTTGTTTTGAAATTACACAGTTTCAAAGATATTTTGTGAAAGAGGGTAATTATACCCTTTTTTGATTTTGTTTTAAGCTTCTGAGGCTTTGTACAAGGTTATGTTGATCAATTACAATAAATGCACAAGGTCAATCCAGGGAGTAATTAACCTTCCATTTTGATAGCACAACTGACAATAGAGCCACGTTGTACACACAATAAATAATTTAATAGTGAATATATCTGTAAAATTATGCTGTAGAGACAGACATACTGATAGTCTCTTATTCTTTATAAAGTATATTATTTAGATATATGTAGACATGATAGATAGATAGACAGACAGACAGACACTGTATGATGGACGGGCAATGGATAGACAGACTGATATATTTTGGCTACCATCTTATACTGTACATATAAGATTTTTTGACTTTTTTAAAGGAAGTATGTAGAGGAGCAATGGGAGTCTCAGCCATGGGAGGTGTGGTTAGGGTTGCATAAACAAAGTGATTTAATGCATAAATCGCAGACAATTGAGCAGTGAGACTGCAAGGACACGATCTATACACCAAAACTGTTTCATTACGCTAAAGATAATATGTACTTACAAAAAAATGTTACAAAATACTAAGATAAACGGAAGGAATACTAAGATAAACGGAAGGAAATGGAAGAAAAAATGAGATCTGGATCAACAGGAGCCATAATGTCTTTTAGGATGACTGCCAAAGTAACAAACTATTCATCAACAGGGTTATATCCTAATATGAGGACTCAAAGTGAATTCTAACTGAATTTGAAATTTAAGGCCATTGCAGCTGAACTGAAAGCATGTTTCAAGTCTAACTTATTTGACCTTAAACTTGAAATTCACTTTAGATTCTCACTTAGTAAATAACACTGCTAGCATTATTACATAGATATGCATTATATGCAGGTTAACAAATATAAAAAGCATAGTTAATATAGTGAATTATATGTATTGCAAAGCAGTGGTTATCATAAGGCCATTGTAGCATGTACTTACAGCGTAATATGTCAGAACGTGACAGCTACCAGGTGGCTTGGTGCGATAAGATGCAGTGATGGATAATCAACAAAGTTTACATGATACAAGTATAGTAAATAGGATAATATTATTGTATATCTATTGGAGCATTCTTGGTCTCCAATCAATAATATACCAGAAATGATATAAATCTGGAGCATCTCCTATAAGAAGTTGCACCATATATTGTTTAGATTGAGAAGGACCAGATAAAGATCACAAGAAAACAGGTTTTATGATATTGAAGTCTAAAGATCTAAACATGTAGTCAATCTCTGCCTTCCTAACAATTTCATAGGTAATCAGAAAGTCTTTTATATTGACTACCAGAAACATTCCTTTCATAATCTGATTACACTGTGTCTGTTTAGAAAGAAATGTTCTACCGTTGGTGTCCATGATAAATGGAAATTGAACAATTCATATTCAAGGCATTCTGATTCTCTGAATAACTTTAGATATTGATATTTCCGACAGAACCGGTATGATTTTCAACTCATGGTCTTAAAAAGATTCTCCAAATACAGTAACCACTGCAGCTTATTGTAATGGCTATGACACAACAAATCTATGGAAGCTGTCCATCCAGTTTCAAGCAGTTTTCAAGAATTGTGTTAAAAACAAAAGGTTTGCCAGTGCCAATAGCCCAGATTCTCTGCCGGGAACCTTCAATATTTGTCTATAATATGTGCACAAAGTAAACAGGGTTTGTATTTAAATCACTGACGAACATTTTGCGGACACAGAATTAACACCGGCTCCTGGGGGGTTAATGGTAAATTGGCTTGTAAGACGAGTTAATTGAAATTTGATGCAGCTGAATCTTGCTTATACAAAGCAAATAGTTTTGGGCAAATATGGAGGCAATTAAACATCCTCATGTCAACATGCCAGGCAGAGAGTGTAAGGTTTGGGTGCAATGGGATCCACTGTATTTTTGTCAAACCATTTTGTCTTTTGGCAACATCAATATGGACTTTATTTATAGCTTTCTAATACCTTATTCTCTAACCTAAGCCATAGAGCTCTAGTGAGCATGTTTCTTGGGACATCTTTCTTAAAAGCAAGATCAAAATGACTCTTGTTTTTATTGTTTTTCTATTTTATATACTAACAATAATAAAATATTTTATTTAGCTGTATTCAACGGACCAACCTGAATAAGGCAGCTAATGGACAAATGTTATCTCAGAATTATGTTTCTATATAATAATCCTTTCATCAAGGCAATTGATTTTTTACAATAATGTATATGTAACAAATGAGGAAAAAAACAACTAATTCCTACTTATGACGGGATCCTTAAGCCATAAATGTGTTGCTTTGGTCAGACGATGTTTGAAAACAGTTGGTCTCTAGGGTTTTCTCTGTTTCTGTGCGGGGAGTGAAGCACGGTAGACCATAGAGACTAACTGTTTTCAAACACTGTCTGACCCAAAGTGCATGTTTATGGCTCAAGGATCCTGACATTTACTAAAGGTAGGGATTTGTTTTCTCTACTGTTTTTTACATACACTTAATTAAAAAAAATCTGTTTCCTTTCCAAACTATTTGAAAGGATTATTATATTAAAACATAGTTTTGAGGTGGCTATTGCCCTTTAGGTAGTCTAGAAAACGTGAACTCCAAATCTATGTAGTTTACCAACAAAGGTATGACTTCTTTCCTGTATTTTAACAGCTAGCACAGCACTATATTTTACTGATATCAACAAACCCTGAGCTGTGAATTCATCACCCAATTCAAAACAAGAAAATCAGCAGTGGTATTGGCCAGCAGCTAAGGAATCTGATCCCGCTAAGACACTGAATAAAAAGAGTGTGTACTGCTAACCATCCATGTCAATCAAAAGACTGACTGTCGGGGAGGTGGTAGGGACACTTGACGAACACAGCAGGGGATCGGCTTCCCAAGCATCCTGGTAGGTATTTTTCTCTGTTGCAGTAAGCATGCAGTGTTAAAATAGAACTGAGCACTGACTTTTGACACCTTCCTAAATAGCAGAAAATCTGTTTTATGGGTTACCTGTGTGTTAGCTGTGCGAAAGTCTGACACATTTTAAATTGATGCTTATTCAACAACTGGAATAAACAATGATGATTAACACGTAATGATGTTTATGGTTTCTATGTAAGATTTGTGAGTGTATTTCCTGTCTGAAGGCGGACATTTCTTCTTTAGATAACAGTGTACAGTAAAGGTAAAGTATGAATGAACCTTTATTTTCAGAATTATCTTTGAACATGTAAAGTAGCCCATAAACACTCAACATTTCACTAAATAAAACAAAATGCTTCAATAGGTTTCTCATCGTTAGCCAAATATATCATATAATGTTTTTTTTTTTTAAGAAAATGAAACTGAAACTCCCTTAATGTAAATGATACATTTGTGTTAGAGCATTCATCTAAGGATGAATGCATTCTTGTAAGATGGTTATCAAACTGCATATCATGATATCAATATAACCCAGTCATTGTAACTGCTCTGGCTATGACCTTTTAATAATTTGAAGAAGATGAAATGCATGAGAACTGAACAAGGTCTGTGATGTTAGAATTATTGAACTGCCTTGCAAATACTAATTTGTCTAAATTGTACCAGAAGTATAAATATTCTAATTTCAACTGTTCAACTGTCGACCTAACTAGAACAATGCATAAACAGAAACTATTCTACGCAGAATAAACATAAAAGATTTGCCTGTTGCTACGCTTTAAGTGACCATGTAATTTATGTTTAAAAACAAAAAAATATTTGAATACTATATATGCATGTATATCATTGAAATATTGAGTATTTATTGACAGCAAAGATAAAAGTAAACGTAGAATAATTGACTACATAGAGCTAAGAATGCATAAATGCAGCTGAGCTAAAAATACATAAATATAACATAAAATTAAATTTTTACATGTTTATGTTTATCTTTGCTACTTTTGCTCTCCCTTTGTTCTGTTTTATTTTTTTGCCTTTTTTTAGTTAATTGATGAAAACAGACCTGCTTCCACTAAAGGCTTGCTGCATCAGCAGATGTGTGTTTCGTGCAGATGTTTTGTTAACTGAGAGCAAGATTGTCTTTACTAACTTACTTTAGAGCATTATGTTGCTCATTATATAACATAAGGACACATGACATGTGTGACATGTCATGATTCCCTTTTATTCCATAAGTTTGGTCCTTAAGGGGTTAAAGTGAAAAATGTAAAAAAAAAAAAAAAAAAAGTATATATTTATTTTTATTTAAGATAGAAATTCAAAACAATTTATCATATATAGAAGGCCATTTTTAACTGTACCCCTGTGTTTTTCTTCTATGTTGATGAATGGATGGATGGATGGACGGGAAAGACCGACAGACAGGTGGACAGGCAGATGGATAGATAATTTCATCATACAGTCATATTATTCCTCTCTGTTGACTAGGTTTTATGTAGAAATGTTTTACTGTTAAATTGTAGCAATTTATTAGTTCAGTAATCTCCTTCTTGACATTTAACTATTCTTTTTAGTCTTTCTGATCACAGTTTCCGTCTCTGAGCAGTTTTGCAGCCAGAGAAGGGAGATAATAGGTAGATAGGATTTATAGCTGTCAATAGTGGCTGAGAAGTATTGCTTGAACAGCAACTTCTTTAAAAAGCAATTGCTGCATCATTAGGCTGGAGACTCATGTTTCACAAGCAAAATCACACTTCTAAGGAATGGCTTTCTTCACATCTGTAATTGCTATAGAGTGAAGGTGACTGGAGTTTATATACACTCTATATTCTTAATGATATATTTTGTGCTTTATTAATACGTTGCTACAGATCTTCTATCGTAATATGTAGATTTAGTGTAAAACAGTTTCTTTGTTTTGTTTTTTAAAGATATATTCTAAAACGAGTTCAGGAATTCAAAATCTGTATACTTTAAATTAATTTGGCAGCAGAAAATAATAGCTAGGTTTATGAAAATAATGTTTACATACATTGATATATATATAAACACAGTTAAACCTTGTATAATCACTTTTAAAATACATTTCAGACATAAACCAGTTTGTATCTCTTACACATATTTCTTTTTCGTTTTCTTTTTTTTAAGAGATACATTTCATTCTGAGAAAAATACTACACTACTACTAATAGCCCAGAATAACTGACTAATGAAAACATATATATACGTAGCCTTGTATGGTGTAAAAGATCATCATCTAACATTGTTCCATTGGGATTTATCTATGTAGTGTCTGCGTTAAAGAGGGATAAATTCAGGAATGAAACTAGAAAGAGCAAGCGGAATGCTTTATAATGCATTGATTGTTCCCAAATTTAGGTTTAACTGTGTTGCTTTGCAGAGTGGGTTGATAAATAGTGGTCTAAAGATTGATGTATAGTTGAAACCGTTCTTGAAATGGAGACAATTAACTCACTTTGCCGTGTAAATCACTTTACATTGCAAGCATTTTAGTCTTGATAATTAAAATCTAAGTCTTTTATTGCATAATTGCCCCCTAGGCTTGGATAGTTTTTGCAATTGAAATGCTTAAACTTTGTTTTCTGGTCGGCTCCCATGAAGATTAATTGACATCCTTATTAGCTTTTGGAAAGTAGAAAAACATATTCGTTCTCAATGTTAAAAAATATATATTATAATATGTAAAGCGTTTCTCTATTCTACAATTTGATATCACTGTTTGAACAGATAGTGTAGGCTTTAACAGAAGATTCCAGGGTAGACTTTCTGACAATTTACAGAAACAAAAATTGATTTGTGCATTCAATTTTAAATCAATTGTGATTCTTCCAAATTTGGCGCGTTTGGCGGCTGTATCAAATTCTGTAACTCTGAAACACTGTATGGATGAATCACGAAACAAACAAACTGGGCAGTGGATGAACAGTCCACAACACAAAAAAAAGAAGATTGATTGTTGGGGACAGTTACTAAATGGTGACTTTATTCACAGATCAGATGAGAAGTGACACATGGAGTGAAAGAAAAACATTTTTGTTTCTTACTTTTTCACCTTTTTTCCCCTCTATTGGCTACGTCTTCTCACTTGATCTGTGAACATTTGCCTATATATGCACAATACTTATATTATAAATATATTTTACAGTACAATATTTGGCCCATTTTATGCCCTTTTGCTTAATTTGTTCCTGAAACCATTAAATGGGTGAAATTCTTCCAAACCAAAACACCACATGGGCGAATCCCAACTTGACTGACAAAATTGTATTAATATATTTTTGGGGGCTAATTGATTCATTTTTTTTTTTGCCATGCGCAAGTCTAGAAAACATGCATTAAACATAAAAAACTGTTGTTTGCTAAAGGTCCAAATCACAGAGCTAAGATTGTCGTCTTGAAATCTCTCTGTTATATAGGATCTTTCTCCAGTAAAGTGACTGAGTATGGTTACATGTATAGTGCCAAACATGCAATAATAGTCATTTTTCAACTCAATGATTAACAACAGCCTGCCTCAGAACCACCTTTACTATTGCCTGTTTACTTGTTAAACATTAGATGTACTATTTTCCAAGTAAATGAAATTGGCATTGGCAAAACAAATTGAAACATGACACCAGGTCTAATTTACTTATAATAAGGTAAATAATTTCACATAATTTGGAGAGAAGAAACTTGTTACACACACAACTCTTTTACAGATATGATTGAGGACACTTTGATAAAGTTAGAGGTGCAGAATATACACATTTACATGCATTTTATTGATGATTTTAGCATTTGTATAATGGAATATTGTTAATAAAAACATAGCAAATCGTAAGATTGTAAACACATTGAAACCTGAATGAATAGACTAATACTTCCTAAAATTTCAAAGGACAGTTTATGGGACACTTTTTTGGCTTAATGTCTTAATAAAATGGCAGAAAACCTCAAAAAAAGTGAATCTCTGAAAGTCCTGCTTTCGTAGCAAACTCAAGAGAATTGTTATTTCACCAGGGCCCATGATGTCATCCACTAAATGTCTTTCATTAAACTCTAGAACAACCATTGCATTCAAAGATAGAAATTGTGAGCATGGATGTGTATATTCCTTCTGTGTGGTCTGTAACTTCTCACTTAAGTGGAAGCAACAGCTGGCAAAAGTGCAATAGAACTAGTTCATTTGAAAACTGAATGAGAACCAATTTCACAAGTGATTGGCTTCAAATCATTTGTATGAATGGTTCTTATTGATTTCTTTCATGTGAATAAGAAGCTGCAAGCGGCATAATTTGTGTATACCCAAGCTTCTCATTCACGTGGATGAGCAAATGCTGCACAAGGGTTTATGTGAAATATATTTATTTACCTTACACAGAAATTTCATGACATCTGCTTGGAAGTCAAGTACGCGAGAACTGAGATACATTTTTATTTGGTTGTTTGTTTGTTTTTTTAAGAAAATTTGATTATTTTATTTTGCCTGATATTATTACTATTTTGCGTTTTTAATTTGAAAATGATACATGGAATTACAACTAAAGAGAGCAAAAATAAACCCAAAAAGTGTGAATTCCCAGGAATTTTTTTTAATTAAAAGTAAATGCCATATTATATTCAGCTGTTTTTGTTTTGTCAAATTAGGCCTAAATGTTAAACTTTACTTTAAGTTCCTGACAAATCACACTTTAGTGAATAGAATATCAGGATTGCATAGTTTATCATTGTTGAAAGACACACCGCATAGAATAGATTTGTCAAAACATTATTTGAACTTATCACTTCACAATAGAATTTGAACTGTAATAAACATTGTAGTTTGTAAATTCAATTCTAGCAACCAACACCTGAGACCATACAGAGGGATCCACTCTGTTAGGCAAGGCTGGGTTTTTAAATAAGACATTTTGATGTTAAGATAGGTTACCTTAACTCAGTTTCAATAAGCAAAGTAAGGAAGCATATCTAAAGGAATGACCATGTAGCAGAGCTAAAATCTCAGATGTCTTATTAATGCTGACATAATCTGTTAAAAAAGCATGTCTGAGTGGATCCTGGAGTTATGAGAGTCAATTGTTATATATATATATATATATATATACACTGTATACAACAGCTTTGAAACACAACCTAGAAAAAGATGCAAAGCCAATCAGTGGAAGGGGTTTTCAATCACAATTTTTCCCCCACCATTACTTTTATGTGTTTTGCTTCGCAAGCACTACCAAGCCTCAATAGCAAGCCAGTAACCAACCTCATGCTGATGATTTGCATTAACAATGAAACAGCTGTCCATGAGTTGTTCACTGTCTTTGCATCTTTTCCTAGATTGTTTTTCCAAGCTGTTTTATACAGCAAACACAGACTCAAAGGAATCCATGTTTAAAATGGAATGGGGCAAAAATGGGATTCTTTGTTAAACTAATTTGCATATGCCCACCCAGAATCCTTTGTGGTAGTAACATGACTCCACATTTGTAATTTCTGTGGGAAAAGCAAGTCTTATGGCTTGTGCAGATCTATGTTTAACATTGTATTAAACACACACACACTCCTGGATCCTGTGCCATACATCAATGCACTGAGTTGGCATTGTCTAGGTGCAGCGGTCCTGTCATTTTAATAATTCAATGCAAACCATTGCAGTATTTTAGAAACTACAATTTTTACATTGCAGGGTTAAATCTCCATCTTATCTTCTAGAGCCACTACAGGCACCCACTCCAGACTGAGTAAAACATGCTCTGGGAATCAAATGCTGCTGATATCAGCATTTGATTGGAAAAGATCATGAGTGACGTCAGCTTGGATGCGGACATCACTGGAGATTAAGCAGGCAGCGGCAGCAGAGGACTGGAAACGAGGTAAGTAATCTTACTTAAAGTTAGTTTTATTTCAATGCAAAGGGGGGAACCTATCATCCTGAAATAACAATTGTTATTTCCAGAACTATAGAGTCTAGTTTATTGCCTCACTATAGGTTCCTAGCAGTAGGATCTATTTTTGAGTCCACTATCATACCACTATTACATCTCCAAATTAAATCATTTTCTTAAACTTAAGATGAATTGACTTGTTAATCACTATATTAATAAATTACATTTCGGTTTGCATCCCAAAATGTTATAATGACCTCCAACATAATTTAATTGAAATAAAGATTAAACCGTGTAGACCTGCAACTAAATATATATGTTCTAGCTTTTTTAGCTGAACATGGTAAGTTGTTGAGGGTGTTTTGGTATGTTTTCAAATGCTTTATTTGCAGTTTTCTTTAAATTACCAATTGTTTTATTCACAAACTAGCTGACTCTTTATCCAAAAAACTCAGTTGACAAAAGTCATATCAAGTGGCATTAAGTTAGCTGTTACAGTTACCTATCTAGTACTCAAGCTAATATCTGACTATGAAAATAATTCTGTATTAAAGTAGACATAAAACTTAATTGGCCTAAGTCCACCTTAAACTGAAGCAGATATGACTCTTGATGCATATTGGCTGTTACAGCAAACGTGCCAAATTCAGAGCCCAGTGTTTTTTTAATCAAATACATTTGATGTTTACTGTTGTTTGCTTGCTGTCCTCATTTAGTCTTTATCCAAGTCAGCCAATGAGAGTAAGACCTATAATTGCAGACATTGTGAGTAGATATGGTTGAAAGAGCTAGTCATTTGTTCATGAATGGCATGAAATTAATCAAGCCAATCAATGCACAGCAGTTGGAACTGGCCAGCTTGTAATAAATCTTGCATTTTATGAATATTTGACTTATGAATTTATCTGCAAGCCGTCTGCTCATCCAACAATGGACAAATATGTTGCCATTTTTATGTAGCTCAATATATTAGGAACAATCCTCATTACTTTTTTTTCCAAGGTAATTTTATAGATGTATTGCCTAATTAATCTGTGAAACTTTTAGCTCTAACGTAGATGGTGTCACAAGGCAGCTGTATAAACTAGTATTAAGCAGTTATGTGTTAACCTTCTTGTCTTATCTAGACATAACATAATTTGCTGGCAATATACACAGCCAGATCATTTCTGGGGATGACCCATAGCATTCCTATGATGTTTTCCTGGCAAATACACCATTTGGTCTGCCAGGCACGGCTTTGCTATTTTGTAAAATATTTTTTTAGGATGCATGTTGTTGCAATATGCTTGAAGGTATAAAAATAAAGGTCACAACATTAAAGCATATCATTTAATAGTCATATAAGTAGTAGTACTATACTACAAAATAAAGCAAACATTTATTAACTGTTTGTTACATAATATGTGAGAGAGAGATTAATGTCTGTTTGGTTGGGGACCAGTTATGACGCTCTCTTGCAGCTACTTTAAATCTTGAAGATCCTCTGTCTTGAAGAAGAAACAAAAAAAAATGATACTCTACTGCTACTGATAACTTGTATGAAGAATTGACTGTTTTGTCACAATAGTTAAACTGTTTCCTTATTTCTGGGAGCAAACCCGATCAGTGGAAGTTATGGGTTGATAGAAAAGGAGGTAGAGCAGCTTGCTGTGTTAAATAGTGGTTATAGAATCCCTTAAAAATATCATTAGCTTCCCTATTCCATGGGCCACATGATTTGAAAACAAGTGGGGGTCAGCCATTTAAGTATATTAACCTTCATCAATTCACATAGTTGGTGAGATAATTGAAACAATTTAAATATTCCCAGATTAGAGGAATTCATTTTTAACATTTTAATTTTATTTTTTTCAGTGCTTCATGAGCAGTTCATAGTGGTGATGGAGATGAGGTAACCTTCCATGAGTTTATCTTTTTTCTTTTTTTTTTAACATTCTTTATTTAGATTTTTGAATATATTGCTTGTAATCGGTGATAACATACCATTAAAACAGTCTGGTGCAGAAAGAAAAAGGATAAAACATAACCAAGATGCGATAAGTTAGATCGCATAACAGGGTTGTCGCAGTAATTGTACATTATACAATAAACAGTGTTTAACACTATGCTATTCCTATTTTGTGTACTTGGTTGCAGCAGATTCTGGGTACAGTGTAAGTGAACAATGTTATAGGATAGAATAAAATATGTTAAAATTTATTAGCGTTGTAATACATAGTATTTCCATTTCCTAACTAGAGCAAATGGGCTTCCGTTCACCTGGTATTTGTAGTGTCCACTCTGGGTTCCGAGTAACATACATGACTCGACCAGAGTTTTCCATTGTAGGGTGCGTGCCCATCGCTGCTAGGGGTAAGGGCTGAGGTTGATGGCCAAGCGGGCCTTGTGATTTCTGGATAGTACTACGTGGTAAGTGGTGGTCTTGGGAAGTTCTGTTCATTGAGTGCCACCTTGGTGAGGAAGGTCTGTATGTGCCGTGTAATGTTGTAGCTTGAGATGGTGATTGGTGGGGTTAGGTGTCTCTGACAGAGGTGGGGAAAGGTAGGACTGAGAGGGGTTGAGTGGTGGAGTGGGACAGGTTTTCAGTATCAGTTGGAGCACATGGCTGCGCCCATGCAGCCACCTGGGCCCTATGTGGGAATTGGGAACTCTATGAGCCAAGGATCCCATATCTTGTCACAACGTTTGGTCCTGTCATGGATAAGGGATAACATCCCATCCATTTTTCTGCCCTTGTCTATCCTTTTTTTCACATCATCTATAGTCGGGACTGTGGCAGCACCCCAATGTGTTGCAATGGATCTCCTGGTTGCTAATGCTAGTTTGGCCAGTAGTTTACTTTGTGCCCAAGGTATGTCTTTTAAGGGTTTAGAGAGCATCCATAGCCAAGGGTCCCTGGGCATGGTCGTGTGTAGCATTTTAGAGGCTAAGGTAGTTACTTCTGACCATATTTCGAGTTATTTGGTGGCACTCCCACCACAGGTGGTAGCGTGTCCCCTTTTGTCCGCATCCTTTCCTGCATAGGTCAGATGTGGACATCCCGATCTGTTTTAATTTTAGAGGAGTAAGGTACCACCACATTAGAGTCTTATAAGCCTGTTCTTTGTGGTTAACACAGATTGTGACCGTTGCTGTGGCCTCCGAGATAGCCGTCCAATCTGAGGGGTCTACTGGAGGGCCCAAGTCCCTTTCCCAAGCCAAGATATAGGATAGTGGCATGGTTTGGGTGGATATGATCAGGTGGGAGTAGATCTAAGAGATCTGACTCCTTTGTACGGGGCATTGAATGCATATTTGTTCGAAGACCTTGAGGGAGGTTTGTCCTGCTTTGTTGTACCCAGTGTTGTCTAGGAAGTTTCTAATTTGTATATATCAGAAGTGGTCATAGGTAGTGAGTGGTGTAGTCTGAGGTAATTCTGTGAACGGGATTAGCTGTTGGTTTCGGTAAAACTGGTAAAATCGGTGAATGTCATTATCATCAAAGTGGGCAAAGTCACGCAGGTTCATGCCCGGTGCAAAGTTTTCATTTCTCAGGATTGGTGTGAGGCACGATGGGTTTGTCATGAAGGCATGTTTTATTGAGAGTTTGTTCCATATATCTTAATGAAGGTGGTTAGAGCTGGGGTGGTCTGTGGGAGTTGGGGTCGTGCCTGTTTTGGGAGCCAGATGTATAAGGAGGAAAAGTCCCTGCCGAATAAGTCGTGCTCTAGGTCAACCCATCTTTTCAGCCCGGCTGGGACTTGTAGGGTCTGGAACTGTGCCAGCTGTGCCGCATGAAAGTAATGTAAGAGGTGCAGTAAGCCCAGTCCTCCTAATTATATTATATATTATAAGATGGGCCTCCCCTTTTATTGGCCCATATAAATGTATCTATCTGGGTCTGCAGTTGTTTGAAGTCCTTGATAGAGACTTGAACCAGTAGTGTCTGAAATAAATATAATAATTATATAGAGGCCATTCGTCCTGGCCAGGATATAGAGAGGCCTTCCCAGTTCTTAATATCGTTTGTCGCTTTTTTCAATAGTGGGACATAGTTGAGGTTGTAAGTTTGGGATACGTCCGCTGGGAGGTTATTGCCAAGATAGTGGATGTGTGTTGTGTTGTACCAGAATGGGTAGGTAGTTAGAAAGGTGGACATTGTTCCTTTGGGAATTTGGACCGGTAGTGCCTCAGTTTTGTCTAGATTTAGGCGGCAGCCTGAGACTTCCGAGTATCTGTCCAATGCTTTAAATAGCTGTGGAAGTGAGCGTGTTGGTTCCATGAGGGTTAGAAGTAGGTCATCTGCATAACCCACAACCTTGTATTCTTTGCTCCGTATGCTTAATCCTGTGATGTGGGGGTCAAATCTTATGGCCTGGTGGAGGGATTCTAATGATAGTGCGAACAAGACTGGAGAGAGGGGGCACCCCTGTCTTGTGCCGTTGAAAATGTGGCAAGAGGGTGGGTGTGCATTTGAGATGAGAAGGTTAGCCTCCGGAGTGGAGTATAGGGTCTGGAGTACTTCGAGCAAAGCTTGAGGGAACCGGAAATTGCGAAGTGTTGTGAACAGGAAGGGCTATAATAGGCGATTGAACGCCTTTTCGGCGTCTAGTGATAAAAAGAGTGTGGGTATCTGTGACGAGACCAATCTCGCCACATTGCATTGGAGAAGCCTGGTTGCTCGCCTGCTGCCTTTGGACTATGGCCCCCTTTTAAAAGACTTTATTTTGCCTGCAGAAAAGCTGTATTCGTGCTTTTCTGCCGGTTGTTCGGTAGTTTCAATCTACCGAACAACCGTACGAATGACTGGACCACCTGGGAGCTGGAGTGTGCCGGCAATTAACCTCCCTGAAGCTGCGGTTAACCGCAGCTTAATTGATGAATGCTGGGTGGCCGCCATTCGTATCCCGAACACGAGGTCGCGGCCATTTTAAACATACGAATGCACAGCGGTGTTCGCCTCTATTTTCATGGAACTAAAATCGGACACAGTTTTGCGCGAACACCGCTGAAGCCGCCAACCTCCCTTCTTGTTCGGTGAAAGTGCACGAACGGCCCGGTGTTCGGTATTTTTGTTCAAATATGTTATACCCCAGATAGGAATCCATGGCGATTAAACTGTATTCGTGTGGTCTGAGTGCCATTCACCTAATAATGTGCACTCAGACCTGAGCTATCTGGGGATATGTTACATGTCTGTGTTTTGTGGAATAAATGTTACTTTGTGTATTTTAAAGTATAATGCTGGTTTTGTGTCCCCACATGTGTAATGGAGTTTTGCCTTTGTCTTGGGAGATCATTGAGTTACTTCCCAATTATCTCCCAGGGCAGAGGGGAGGAAGCCAGGATGCATTGTGGGAGATACTGTGACTGTGTGTCCTATTTGTCTAATTGTCTGTCCCTTGTCACAGTCTCCCATTTGGTCCCCTAGGGGAGTGTCCACCAGGTGGGAGACCTGCATAAATACTGGGCAGGTAGCCCTCATTAAACAGACCACTGCTTGACCCTCAACACGGAGCTCTGTCTCGTCTTTGGGGGGATTTACTGTATGCTGCTAAGGACTGATTGCCAGGAGTGTAAGCCGCTTGGGAGCTTTTCCTGTTCGTCTGGTAGCAGCAATTCGTATGGTTCCTGTTCGTGTATTTGGAGTGCTATCTTATTCCCTTGTATGCCGTTCGGGAGTTTGGAGCATTCACTTGTATGCAGTTCGAGAGTTTGGAGCATTCACTTGTATGCAGTTCGAGAGTTTGGAGCATTCACTTGTATGCAGTTCGAGTGTTTGGACCATTCCCTTGTATGCAGTTCGAGTGTTTGGAGCATTCCCTTGTATGCCGTTCGGGAGTTTGGAGCATTCACTTGTATTCAGTTCGTGAGTTTTGGTGATTCTACAGTAGCTGTGCCTGTCTCTGAAAGGGGATTATCGTCTAAGCGTTTTTTTCCCCTTTTGTGCAAAACGGTCCGTTACAATTGGTGGCAAGCGTTGGGATCGTTCCCACAGACTACAGGACAGCTACAGGTGACACCATTCCGTGGATTTTTACAATTTGAGGGCAACGCATGTCCCAGTACAGCAACCCTGACAGCAACAGCATGGAACCAGCAGTGTCATACGAGGAGGAGGACCTGGATGGCCGGGATGCATTAAGGAAAGGCATCTGGTACCAGGCCCTGGATAATGTACAGTACCAGCGGGGTGAAAGTCTCCCCAGTGAAGAGCAGCAGTTGCAGAAGCAAGTGGCCCTGCGGATGCCCTTCCTGGGAGAGCAGCCCCTAGATGAATGGGTGAAGGAATTGGAGCACCGGGTATGGCAGGAGATTTGGCTGGAAGATGCATACCAGGCGCTCTGGTGGTATGGGGCACAGTACCTGCCCTGGACAGCCGAGCATGACAAGCCAGAAGGAGAGGAGTTTGATGGTCCTGGCTTGTTATGGGAGGCTTTTTCAGAGCCTGAATTTGGGAGCCCTACACAAGCCCGGTTCAGTGATCTCTTGGAGTGGAGGGAGAGCAGGTATGACTGGGACGACACTCACGACATTGAGCAAGACCTGGCTCACCTAGCAACCCTGGAGTGGGAACTGGAGCAGGACTACCGAGATCTCTTCCACTCCATTGAGAAGATTCAGCAGGACAGCAAGGTGACAGATCCAGTTCCAGACCCATTCAGAGGGGACGAGATGGTACAGTTTTACTGGGAAGAACCCCAGGTGGCCGGTAGAGATGGGACCGAGGTCTCTCCACCGGTCCTGCAGGGAATTGGGAGCCCAGTCTCCATTCCCCAGCGGCAGTGTAAAGTGCAGGGAGAGGAGAGCAGTATCCTCCCTCCCCAGCGGCAGGCTGAGTTACAGGGGGCAGAGGTAGTTGTTCCTGCCCCCAGCAGCCAGAGTGTAAAGTGCAGGGAGAGGAGAGCAGCGTCCTCCCTCCCCAGCGGGGAGGGCAGTGTAGTGCAGGGGGCAGGAGAACAGCGTTGTCCTGCCCCCCAGCAGCCAAGTGATATGCCGGGACGGCAGTGTGAAGTCCAGGGAGAGGAGAGCAGTGTCCTCCCTCCCCAGCGGCAGCGTGATTTTTTGGGAATTGGGAGCCCAGTCTCCATTCCCCAGCGGCAGTATGATGTTTTGGGAATTACATAGTTACATAGTTACATAGCTGAAAAGAGACTTGCGTCCATCAAGTTCAGCCTTCCTCACATTTGTTTTTTGCTGTTGATCCAAAAGAAGGCAAAAACCCAGTTTGAAGCACAATTTTGCAACAAGCTAGGAAAAAAATTCCTTCTTGACCCCAGAATGGCAGTCAGATTTATCCTTGGATCAAGCAGTTATTACCCTACATTGAAAGATTATATCCTTGAATATTCTGTTCTTGCAAGTATGCATCTAGTAGCCGTTTGAACATCTGTATGGACTCTGATAAAACCACTTCTTCAGGCAGAGAATTCCACATCCTGATTGTTCTTACAGTAAAAAAACCTTTCCTTTGCCTTAGACGAAATCTTCTTTCTTCCAGTCTAAACGCATGGCCTCGTGTCCTATGTAAAGTCCGGTTTGTGAATAGATTTCCACACAATGGTTTGTATTGGCCCCGAATATATTTGTATAATGTTATCATATCCCCTCTCAGGCGACGTTTTTCTAAACTAAATAGGTTTAAATTTGTTAACCTTTCTTCATAGCCGATATGTTCCATTCCTTTTATTAATTTTGTAGCCCGCCTCTGCACTTTTTCTAGTGCCATAATATCCTTCTTTAGAACAGGTGCCCAAAATTGCACAGCATATTCAATATGGGGTCTTACCAGTGATTTATAAAGAGGCAAAATTATATTCTTGTCCCGAGAATGAATGCCCTTTTTCATGCATGACAATACCTTACTGGCCTTGGCCACTGCTGATTGACATTGCACATTGTTGCATAGTTTGTTGTCTATAACAATTCCCAAGTCCTTTTCATGTGTTGTTATCCCTAATTCGCTTCCATTAAGGGTATACGTTGCTTGTGTATTCTTTACGCCGAAGTGCATAACTTTGCATTTTTCAACATTAAATTTCATCTGCCATTTGAGTGCCCAGTCCCCCAGTCTATCTAAATCCCTCTGCAGCAAAGTAATATCTTGCTCACATTGTATTGTTTTACAAAGTTTTGTGTCATCTGCAAACACTGAAACATGACTTTCAATGCGGTCTTCAAGATCATTTATAAACATGTTAAATAGAAGGGGTCCCAGAACAGACCCCTGAGGGACACCACTTGCCACCTCTGTCCAGCTTGAAAATTTACCATTAATGACAACTCTTTGTACTCTGTTTTTAAGCCAATGTTCTACCCAAGAACAAGCATTTTCATCTAGACCGATTTCCTTGAGTTTGAACACTAATCTATTGTGTGGAACTGTATCAAATGCCCAGTCTGGGAGCCCAGTCTCCATTACCCAGCGGCAGTATGATGTTTTGGGAATTGGGAGCCCAGTCTCCATTCCCCAGCGGCAGCACAGATTATTGGGAATTGGGAGCCCTGTCTCCATTCCCCAGCGGCAGAGTGTCCTACCGGGAATAGAGAGCCCAGTCTCCTTTCCCCAGCAGCAGGACTCTGTATTGGGAGCAGAGACAGTCGGTCTCCCTCCCCCGCAGCTGGAAGTATGTATGGGAGAGGAGCTTGTTACCCCCTCTCCCCAGCGGCAGCTTAATGTACCCGGGGGAGACAGTAAGCCCCACAACTGTGCAGATGGGACCGTAGTCTCTACATTGCCAGCACAGGGGGTAGGGACGGTCGGTTCTGCCCCCCAGCGACAGGGCTGTTTAGCCAAAGGGGAGACAGTCGGTCTCCCCCTCCAGCAGCAGAGATGGGTAACCAAAGGGGAGACAGTCGATCTCCAGCAGCAGGACTATGTATCTAAAGGGGAGACAGTCAGTCTCCAGCAGCAGAGCGGTGTATTTAAAGGGGAGACAGTCGGTCTCCCCCTCCAACAACCAGGCTTCAACCAGGCTACCCTCCCAGTAGCGCTGGCAACAGGGCAGAGTGCCGCTGGTCTCTGCCCACGCAGCAACCCACCAAGTCAGCGTACCCGTACCCAGCACAGCCGTGGTGAGGCACCTGGACATGGACAAGCTTCTCCTTTACCCAGGTGTAGTAACCATTTATTGTGGATGGGCTGTGCTGTTGATTATGTTTTGTGGGTGGGCTGTTGGACTAACAAGGGCACTGACCGGCAGGAGGTCAGATACCCTGTTAGTCTGTTTGGAAAAGGGGAGAGATGTGACGAGACCAATCTCGCCACATTGCATTGGAGAAGCCTGGTTGCTCGCTTGCTGCCTTTGGACTATGGCCCCCTTTTAAAAGACTTTATTTTGCCTGCAGAAAAGCTGTATTCGTGCTTTTCTGCCTGGGGTTCGGTAGATTCAATCTACCGAACAACCGTACGAATGACTGGACCACCTGGGAGCTGGAGTGTGCCGGCAATTAACCTCCCTGAAGCTGCGGTTAACCGCAGCTTAATTGATGAATTGATGAAAACAAGAAAAAAATTGAATTCAAACAGCAACAGGGAAACATCGGTTTGACTTAATCCGGCATGCATTTTAACTTCTTTGACATCACAAGTATGGGCAGAAGCTATGCATCGCTATTGCAGAAAAGGGGGTCCCTATGCCAGACTCTGGGGGTAAAGAAGCCTTTTGTGGGGGTAGAAATCATCATCATCAGTGGAAGGGGGATATGCCCTCGCTGAATCACATTAGTTCAACAAGGAGCAGGATGCTTCAGACAACAAAGGCATCTTTCTAAGCTGCTCTGTGGGCCTACAAGGTATTTAAAGCTGCACCTTGTATTTTAACCTTGGAGGAGACTTAGGATATAAAAGGGAATCTAATCATATTTCTAGTGTAACTGTCCCCTATAGTGTTGATAAGATTTTCAAGCTTTCTCTGTACATTTCCTATATATTATGTAACGTACATATTGTAAATTGCAGAATGTTATCCCAAATGAATGGTGAGATCTGTTTTACCCACAATCTACCTATGGTGCCTGCCAAAGTCAAACTGGATTAATTCAAACATTTCTAGGCCCCACTCCCCTCTAGAAATCTTTCCGATAGTGGGATTGTTAACCCTGAAGTATCTCAAATCACAATCCGTGCCATTAACATTTTCTCATGCGTTTTTTCCCCCTTTCCTTTCTATTTTTTCCCTTTTTTTCCCCTTTTTCTTTCCTTCCCCTTTTTTTGAAATAATTATGGGCAACTGTTTCTGGTTTCTGTAAGGTGTAGGATGAAAGTGGAATGTAAAACAAAAGAATAATAAATAATAATAAAAAAATAATATTAAAACAACTAATAAACACCCTGAACTCCTATTTTGTTTCCCCTCTTATCTAAAAAGGCAGATTGGGCTTAAATTACATTCTGCTTCCTCAATTGCAGAAAATAAGTTCACCACCACATCTACCTAGCCAAGTGCAAAGGGAATCACAGAGTCAATATAATTTCCCAGGACAGGATCAATATTAGGTATGAAACACTGGCAGGACATACAGCATCAAAGTTGTCCTCTCACGAAGAAAGAACTAATAGCAGTGACATGCTTAATCGGTAAAAAGATTGATGACGGGATATCTTTATAAATACAGTAACATTTTAGACTATGGAACTGATCATCAATAATCACCAGGAAACAATTCAATTATTTCACAGCCCGAAGTGTGGCATTCGTTTGGGTGGACATTTGTCATTAGTTCAATTTAATGTGGTTATCGCTGGAAAGCTTAAGGGGCGAGAGGGAGTCAAAAAAGGGAGTTGGGAACACAAAAGAAAGAAACATATATATTTACTGCACACCGTGTATATTCGTGAACAAAAAATAGGAAATTTACTTTCATGTTTGGGAGCAACATAGGTTGCTCAATCCACAAGGCATAGTTGGTTTATAACTCCACCAAGGATACAATGTTAGGATACAGAAAATTAGAAATAGGTCCAGGATAAGAGCTAAAAAACATGATTTCACTATAAAAACAATAAAAAGGGGATTGTACCGCTCAGATGCACATATTGGGAATTCTACTTCTCAGACGCTCATATTAGAGCTTCTTCGCTCTGAAAAGTGTAAGTGCACTGATGTATCTCTATTGATCCATTAACAGAAATGACTTAATTGCATGATCTCTCAAATAATGGCCTAAGTTCTCACTCATAGCAAATCTTTAACCTCAGCACTGGAAAAGAAAAAGGGGCACATTTCTAAATGTTGGACACCTTTTTATATTTACACCACCTTTCTATTAAATCACTTGCATAAATATCTATAAATCCATTTTCATGTTTTTATATTGGCAATATTTTGAATACTTACAAATCAACAGTTATTGATGTCATGAAAAATGAAATAGTTTTCACTGCCTGAAAAATATAATCCAAGTTGAAAATATACAACTTGATGCTATTTTGTAGAATACAAAGGAATATTAAATTATGGGAAGATCTTTTCAACCCTAGACTCAATACTGATGTACTGCTGCAGCTGGATCAAAAATGTAATAATATGTAGTCTGCTTGCCCCGTCTGCTTTGTTCTGTTATACTCCCAGAAGTGAATTAAGCCATTGAAAGGATTTACATTTCTTCAGAGAATTCGTTCTAGAGAGAAAGCATACTTTGCAAATGTTTTTTCAAACTCCTAATGATTACTTCTGATAGTGAAATTTTACCCTGGGATATCTGTGTAAATATCAGCTTATAACGCTATTGCATGAACAAATTCTAAACGAAAAATAATGCAACTGGGTGGATGTAACTACTAGAAAATGAATACTATATCAGTTTAGTTTTACATTTAATTCACAAGCCATAACCACTAAACCACTTACACTAAACATATGTGTAAAGAATTACATTACGTTTTTATAAATATGACCTTAATCTCTTTTGGACATTCATTACACGAGTTGTAGTTATACGTTTTAAAATATCTCTGTGTAGACATTCAAAAAGCAGGGAATACAGGCAGAATAAATCTATACTGATATTTAAACTGGAGGTAATGATCTGTGTTCTAAGTTGAATGGTAATTCAGGCTTCTAATTACTAAATGTTTGGCCTTATATTTGTAATTAGTAACTTATTTTTCCTCTTTTTGGTTCATATGCTTCCTTTGGTATTATGCAAAAGTCTGTGTATTTATAACTGCAAAACTGCTCTAAAAATACAAATAAAAGAAGAAAACAGTTCAATCATTCTGAATTAGATTTACGAGAATGACACATTCCTTATCGGACGTCTACCCAAACAACAGTATTTATCTCCAAATCCTGATTGTACCATTCATCATATAGATTGTCTCTCTTAGAATCCTAACAAAAGGCAACAACAATTTAAAGGGCTTATGTACACATTTTATAGATATATAAATTAATTAATTATCCTTATGTAAAAACAAAGTGAAATAATGTATTCTAAGTACAGTCAACACCAAACTATCCCTTATTTCTTCCACTGAAAAATAAATCTGGGTAAATCTTCTTGCATGAGAGATTAAACAAACAACCCTTTGTACATACATTTCATCCTGTTATATGCGTTGGTAGTAACGATGACTGTAGTTCCTTAACATGACCACTTGTGCTGTCTATAGTGGTATCAGAATGTATATCTAGATTATATGTTTCACAGTACAGGGATACATATCTCTTTGACTCTGCTTCACCAACCTCTAATCTTTCTAGAATTATTAGTCATTTCAAAGCTACAGATGGTAGAGTATAGCTTAAAGATCTTATTAATTTCATGGATGAAAAGAACTGTAGAAGAAATCCATGAAAAAATTCTGCATATGAGCAATAAACAGTATATTGATTATGTATTTTTAAATTAATTATCATTATAATTATTTACAGCGTTTTCCATTTTCATTCATACTTTGTATAAATGTAAATAAATAAACTGGATGTTGGAACGTCTTATACGTCTCTCATAAATGATTCTTCTGATATTTTTTTTTGGGGGGGGGGGGGTTGAATATAATTCTAGAGCATTTAAATGCTGCAGATGTAATAAAGATATAGAATTACAGTTCAAATCAGCCATTTTGACTGTGACTTGAGAAAATGACTCCATGAACTCAGTGTGAGAGTTTCACAGAGAAACCATGTGACTACTTTAGATGTTACACATCATTTCTATGACTTGACATGTCTGTCTTAATAGTATAATTTGAATATTGGGCCAGATAATTGTATATTACATTATAAGGACAAGTTTAATATCTATAAATAGAAATAGGCAAAAAGTTTTACTTTTCCTAGTAAGAACTCTTACACAAAACTTGTAGAGTCTACAATCTGAATATTTTTGTCAGCTTCACAATGAATGTAAAATGGATGCTGTCCAGGAGGTGGGAGGGTCTGGGAGGGAGGGTCTGCTGCTGATTGGCTGGAATGTGTCTGCTGACTGTGAGGTACAGGGTCAAAGTTTACTCAATGATGACAAATAGGGGGCGGACCGAACAGCGCATATGTTCGCCATCCGTGGCGAACCGTTCGACGAACCGTTCGGGACATCACTAATCATTATATATTCAATACCATGTACTCATCACCTGTAGACCTCGATGCACTGTACATAGGGCTGGCAAACCCCTAATCCATATAACAGCAAAGTAGTCCCGGCACTCAAGCTCTTCATACATCAGTAGATTTATTGAAAAAACATGACAGATACAGCAACGTTTCGATCCCTCTTTTGTATCACTGGATAAATGTTAAGCACTTACCATTTTGAGGTCTTGATTTTTTGGTAAAGTGATCTTGCATGTACCTTGGTGTTGAAAGGTCTGCATTGGACATTTGGGAACCCTTACAAAAAAGTATTATTTTTTTAACTTTATTTTTTATAGTACAACAGAAAAATAATTGTATACTGATAGAATAAATGAGCATGACAATACATTGTGTTTGATAATTAAGCACCCCTGTTAGATCACAGTTCCTGCAATACAAAGGCTTAGGATATTTATGTAAGCTGCTACAGTGGATGAGAGAAGTACCAGATGTCTCAGCACAGCTCATTTTCAGTATCTCTGAAAGTTATGCATAAACTGACTTACAATCTTATATTTTCCTTTTCTTTTCTCTTACTTCCACTATTGCCTGCTCTCATCCATGTAGTTGCTAACTTTTATTTTTATGTGTAGTCATCCCTTTATAATGTTGCTATATGATTTATTCTTGTGTTATGCTTTGCACTTAGCCTTGAATATTTCTTAAAACTATTTAAATAAATATATATATATATATATATTTAAATTAATACTAATCCTTTTAATGTTCCTTATTTACTACAAGTGCTTAGGATCTCCTGATTTAGCACTGATGTCCACAAAAATCAATGACTCAAACATCTTACCTATGCTTGTCCTCCTCCAATGGGATAGTTGAACCCCAAAAAGCCTTGCTGCACAGGGAAAACAAGCATAAAAAGGGAAGGCAGAAGAAAGAAGAGGTTATTACATGAACAGTATATTAAAATAGCAAACGTCTATCTAACTGTCAGTCCATCCTTCTTTTGTCTGTCTGTTTCTGTCAGCTTACCTATCTGTCTCTATCTAATTCTGTCAATTTATTTATCTCTCTCTCTCTACTTTTTTTTATCATGAACGTATTGAACCTGCCTGGTTTCTACTCTTGATAGTTTTTACTACAAGAAAAAGGCAAGTGCAGCGTTTTCCACAAGAATGTTATATAAGGCATAACAAATGTGAAATATATTCTATTGCAGATGATCAGTCAGCTGTGAATTTAGCACCCGCAAGACGGACAGCTCTAATGTATGAATAATATTATGTGGCAGCTGGGACTTCTATTAGAAAACGGAACTATTTGACAGCTGTAATTTTGAAGTGCTCTTGCATGGAATATTTGTTAAACACTTAACAAAAGGATGCTTGACTTGGCTTTTGTTTATTATATGATTAAACATGAAACCAGTCTCTCTGAGATAGATTATGTATGGAGAAAACATATCTAAATTTAGAAATATATATTTCACCCATAAACACTTTGTTCAAAAAACTACCAGGCATTGAAATAAATATAGTAAGAAGACCATGTTTGATTTTATAAAAATATAAAAGGCATTTAAAGGAAACTTGTCACTATTTTGCTAGATAAAAAATAAAATCATGTTTCTTAATTACTTTAAATAGGAAATAACTTTTGACTTGATTTTTATTGCTATCCCAGATAACCCAATAGGTCCAACGTTGCCTAGAATATTTGTGAACTCCCTTTTTAGTACATGGCTGTTCTGACTGATAGAAGCCTGCTACAAATCTGCATGCCTATTTGACAGGTTTGGAAGCCCAAATGGCATCTAAAATGTTTTATGTACGATTTCATTGCTAGAGACAATATTTGAAGCAAATCCATTTAGATCTTATTAGCTATTTACCAGCCAAAATAGTTGACTAAGAGGAAGATCCCAATTGGAAGGAAGTAAAGAGAAACAAGGGGAAAGACGATATTTAATCATTTAAAAAGGCTATTACAATGAACATTACTATGAAAGGGTTCACATTATTATTATTATTAATTAAAAAAAGGATTTTTGACTTGCACTAGTAGCAATGTAGTTTGAATTTGATCCAGTGAAAGCACGTTAAAATAAATGACATTTATGATAAAATACATATTTGTTTAAATGCACAGTATACCTTATTCATTTTTGCACTAGCGATATGTAAAAAAAAATCTGTCATTTTCATTGATCCATTTTACTGATCTTCAAAAGCAAATAAGTGTTTTTTAAATGCACACCAGCTGTCAGAAGACACTACACTCCAGAGTCCAATCTGCCTTTGCACTGTCAAACAGATGTTAATCTCATGGAGACGTTGGCTTGGTGGATCTTTAAATTCAAATGTTAATTACTTTCTAAGGAGAGAAAAATAAAAGCACTTTATATTTTATGAGATCTATATTAGCTAAATATCCATTACAACTTTGCAAAGGAGAACTTTTGTTATTTGGTGCAACACAACAAAAAGTCACAATAGTTTCCATATTAGACATAAGATGTAAAGCCAGTGAAACACAGATTCAAAGGGTGGAGATGAAAAAAGTACTGTTTTTCATGATTATCATAATGTTACAAAAAAGTCAGAATCATTTGAAATTGGATCTTAATTGTTTTATAATGCTAGTCTATGAGCACTATAATGCTAGTCTATGAGCACTTTACAGAATAGACAAAAAGTTGCAGGTAAACAAATAAAAGGCGGATATGAGGAATATTTTTTTCAAATATTGCCCAGGAAAGCTTTTTTTTTTGTCAGCATTTTCTTGCACTTACTTTTACTCAGCTTCCCTTGAAAGAAAAGTCATCATTATCTTAAACCAGGTTCCAGGCACCCTGTTGGTCACTTGATCTGTGAATAAAATAAACAATTACTGATTGTCATTTAACTATCAATCGTCTTTATTTCCCATGAATTATCTTCTTTTTTTCCCCCACTAGCAGAATTCTGAATCACAAATGAAAATGAACATGATTGTCCATTTTTTTCTTGTGAATTTCAATGGGTTTGTGATTCACTTACTTGGAGTTTGAAAATGAAGACAATGACCCTAATTTCGATGAATTGTGGTTCAGAATGAAACAAATCTTCAAGTCTAGTAAAAAGGTCTGGGCATCCCTATGTGAATCAGTCACTGTGTATCAGTAACAGTAAACTGTAAAATATATTTGTGCATATTATTCTTTATTTTATAAATAAAGTTAAATTACAGAAACAAACTCATCCTAAACTAATGCTAAACAGAAAGTTTTTAAACTTTACATATTATTAAAGGACACTAAAGTCACTCACGATGGAGTCATTTTAACTATTCCATGTAAAAATTGCCGTTTTGTGGAAACAGTAATGTTAACATAGAAGGGTTGAATGCACCTCTGTCTTGTTAACAGTCATTAGAGGTGCCTTTGCCTCCTTAGTCAATTTAAACTCACCTATTCAATCAGATGATCTCCTAGACAGCTTTTGGTTGGTGCAATATAGCATTTTGTAGCATACACACACCAGCCCCCAAATGCTTCTCTATAGGTAAACATTAGATTGGCTGCAATCACCAGCCAAGGATGCAGAGCAACTGCAGTGAGGTAGTAGAGGATAATAAAACTGACCTTTTAGACCCAGGGAGTGTCAACCTATAAATAAGAGAACATTATAGCATTCGGAATACACATTTGCATTTCTAATACTTATGTCTCAGAAAGTACAGAGAATTGTCATTAATAGTAAATTTTCAAGCTTGACAAAAGTGATAAGTGATGTCCCTCATGGTCTTGTTCTGGGTCTACTTCTATTAAAGATATTTGTAAATAATCTTAAAGTATGCTTTGAAAGCCATGTTTTAGTGTTTGCAGTTAGTTGACACAAAACTCTATAAAGTAATAAAATGTGAGCAGGATATTGGTTTGCTGCAGAGGGATTTAGATAGATTGGGGGACTGGGCACTTCGGGGTAAAGAATGTAAAGAAAGCAACTTACACCCTAAATTGTAGGATATTATAACACTAACAAAAATGCAGAGGTAAGCTACAAATTTGATAATATGAATGAATCATTTTAGTTATGAAGAGAGGTTAACATATTTAAATGCCTTTAGTTTGGAAAAATGGCACTTCATAGGGGATATAATAGCATTATACAAATATATTCTGGGCCAAAACAAACTATTGTCTGTAAATCTGTTCGTAAACAGGGCTATACATAGGACACGATATCACACATTTAGACTAGAAGAAAGGAGACTTAGCCTAAGGCAAAGGAAATACCAAAAAGGATGTGCAATCCTCAGCCTGAAGAGGTGGTTATATCAGAGTCTATACAGATGTTTAAAAAGCAATTGGATAAATACTTGTAAAAACATATTATACAGGTATATAATTTTTAATTAGTGGGGTAATAGCATTTTGACACAAGGAGATATGTGACTGCAATTCTAGGGTCAAGAAGGATTTTTTCCTAATTTGCTGCAAAATAGTTGTTTTGCCTTCTTTTGGATCAATAGCAAAAACAAATGTGAGAAATACTGAACTTGGTGGACACAAGTCTCTTCTCAGCTATGTAACTATGTATCCTTTAAAGAAAAATAATATACATGTATTAAGGTTTTCGTGTTTTATTGTATTATCTCTGACATTCCTAGATTCCAAGTGACTTAGAAAACATTTTTATATCTAGGAGTAAACCCGACACCAATATTTTTCTTACCTGGATATAGTCAGAACATTACATTAATCAAAAAATTCAGTGTTTCAAAATACAATATATATGGTATACAGTAAAATAAAATCATGCTGATCTTTTCACTTTTTAATTTGACTGTGAAGTATATTTAGTGGCTTTTTCTTTATTCTGTTTATTACATTGCGTTTCTTCCAGTTTAAAATTGATTTAATGGCTTTTACTGACTGCAAAAGATCAGATTCACAATCTATTTAAAAAAAAAAATATTTTCTTTATTTGGCATGTCAATCATTTTAAAAATCCATTCAAGTCTATTTAAATCTCTTTAACTGTAGTTTGTATTATTTCATTAGGTTGGTCTTTCAAATTTTGTAAATATATTTTCAACCCATAAAATTATTTCTAAATAATCATATGACTTGCTCATAACTACACTATATGCATCTTAATTTATGTTATAAGCTACAGCATGTTTGTACATTTTAGCTTTTTTGAAGTGCGCTATTATATTTTATGGACATATTTTAATTATTGCAATAAAAATGAAAATCTGTAAAATTAAAATCAGTTACAAAGTGGTTTTCAAAAAAGTTACAATAGCATGATATGCTATCCTGCTGTCTCTCCTTCCCTATGGAAATTGTAATTGGCTTGGTTGAGCTTTTCTCAATCCAAAATTAAATTAACAGTTTCAAAGTGGTTTCATTTTAATTTGCAAAATCACATTAAATTTTGGTGCAGAGTTTAATTTAGGAAATTAAAAGCATGAGGTATAGTTGACTTGTTTCACTGAGAGGGAAAATTTGAATTCACTCTGAATTCTCAGCAATTCACACTTCCATGAATAATCCTGACAAAGTTACGGTAAATATTACTCTTACTTCATATTTGGCACAAAGCACAAACATTGATAGTCCGGCTGTCTAATTTCTAAGAAAATAGAAAATTGGAGTCTGGGAGATTAGGAAAGCATCAATTAATATTCAGGTATTACTTCTACTTTTTACTGCCACCTGATTTAAGTGTCTTGTACTCAGTTTACAGGAATGTGTAACATCATACCATAAAAATCAGTATAAAAAATAACAACCACATTTAAATGTATTTCTGAATTATTAATGCGGAAAATGTGAATCATGTTAACAATGAATCTGTTGAATATTGTTGTAGTCAGTTTTTTTGGTGTTTTTTTTGTATAGAAGAAAATAGGCACTGCCAGTTTTAAATTAACGCATCAAATTATTTACAAAATTCTAAATATTAACATAAAATTTTTCAGGGTTATATACTATAGTGAAAATTGTTGGGATTTCAAATTGAAATCAAAGTGAATTTTAAATATACGGTTGTAGTAGCCAAAATGGAAGCATAGTTGAATTGGAATTTTTTTCCAATTGGACTATTTTGGTATTAAATTTGAAATTCCTAACCTTCCGACTTTAGTGCAAAACCTTGTTTGTTTTCCTTGCGGAGTCACCAAGCTAAGTACAATTCAATCGAGTGTATTACAACTGACACTTTTATGCAGGCTTTGAAAACTGTTATAAGTAGATAATGTGAATTAGGGATTGGAAATATAAACAGTGGATTGTCGACTGGAAATATAAACAGTTGCTAAAATGTCATCCTTCCTAGATAAAACAAGCTTAGCAAAATATTTACCAGTTACAAATAAATTGTTGACCTTCTTTGATATAATAAAATAGCAAGGTCTCTTGATGAACAGCTATGTTCTCAGATTCTACTTGTCTCACTAATTCACCTCACTCTCAAAATGAAATGTCATTGTAAAGCACATTTATTTAAATATATAAATAAAACTCACATAAATAAAAAAATAAGAAAATGTTCACTTTAATCTTATATGTTTCTACAAATTACTATTCTATTTCATCAGAAATTTAATTAGTTTTTTTGAATACCTGAATGACTTATACACAGATAAAAAGCAGATATCCTGCAACATTGTTGGTTGCAGTTAGAAATTAGACCCCATTGTGTTGATTGTAATAATAGTGAGGATAATAATAAAAATTCCAAGTTACTGCCATGCTTATTTGGATCTATATTTTTAGTGTTTTTGATTTTCATGTAACACATTTACCATGTATAAGAGGCAATGAGTGAATCTTTTTTGGAGTTCCTCATTAATTCTACAAATATTCAGGTTCTGCATTTTATAAATGAGGTCCTGGAAGTAATCCCTAGTATTTAAAACATGAATTCAGACCATAGTACATTGTTCTCTTATCTGCTCCTGGCATAGGTAGGCATAGGCTAGTAAGAGATAATATCAGATTTTAACATCCTCTATTTGACTAGCATATCTCAAATGAAAATGAGGGTGACTAATGTGTGCAATGAGAAGTACTGAATCTTTGATACATGTGATGGGACACTAGAAGTGGTTGCTTATCATCCTGGCCCCTTTGGACTTAGCCACTACTATACGCCCAGTAAGAATAATAGTTACACTACTATAATGTGTAAACCCTTTAGACCTGGTTTTGTGATAAAAGCAAATATCAATTTATTTTTCTTTCTTAAAAATGTTATTACTTGGAAGTAGTGTCGAAAAAAAGTTACTGCCCTGTATTGCGTAGACACAACTACAAAACTTGTTGGACTTATATCCGCAAGACTATAATGTGTAAATGCTTCTTAACCGGTTGTGTAAAAAAAATCCCTTTTTTATGATTTTTGTATTTTCAAAATAACTGCTATTATTTGGAAATAGTGATAAAAAAAACAAACAATTACTGTCCCTCATCATGCGTGGCATGTGAGAGAAAGTCTGGAAAAGGCAATTGTCCAATTTTAGCCCTTTATAAAAGCATTTAAACATCTCTAATTGTTTAAATTGTTTAAATGTTATTGTTATTATTATTATTCATAATAATAAGGACATGAAGGACCCAGGTTCAAATCCCCTGTCTGGCACCTGGGGGGCGACCATGCCTGGCCATCCAGATTTCACAGTGATAACCGTTACAGAAGGAAGTTATGTAGAAGAGGATAAAGGTCTTGCTGACTGCCTCAATTAATATTTTGTTTAAGCATGCGTGGGATAGGCATAAGGCTATCCTAACTATAAGATAAGGCTAGGGACTAATGAAAGTATTTAGAAAATTGGGCAGACTAGATGGGCCGAATGGTTCTTATCTGCCGTCACATTCTATGTTTCTATGTTTCTATGTATTCCAGTCAACATTGTCTGTATCATTTTGTAATTAGTTCAAAGCATTATTTTAGGTTGAAATACATTTTTTATGTTTGTTTGCAGGTTTAGGTAAAAGTTGTGGAAGAAAACTGGAATCCAGAGAAGTTGTAAAAAACAAAAATAAAACAAAAATTCACCCCCTCCCCAAAACAGCAAAGAAGCAGAAAAAATATGGAACATAAAGAAATCCTTAAAGATGTGCTTTTGCGGAAGATGTAGATCTTTCACCCAACCTTCAACATAAGGAAAACATCCGAGGGAGCTAACGATTGAGCATTCTTTAGTGTGAAAAGCATCAAGCTGTTTTTGGGATTTTCATGTCTCCAGCTGTGCACTCATTGTTGCATGAATAGAACACTTAAATTATACAATGTTTGCAGTTTTGCCTTAATTGGGTAAACGTCTAAAGGACACAAATACAAGAGGTGATTGAAATCTCCCATCAGATGACCTGCTAAAATTACAGTAAGGGTGATTTGAAACAGGAGAGATGAATTATAGTTTAGTATTTAAGATCTGTATGTATATATAAATGTGCCATGATAAAAAGGAATTTTAACATGCATCTACTAACAATGCAGCTGCTACAAAAGCTTTAAATGTATACAAAATGCACAACACACACACAAAAGAAACGCACAGGTTCAAATCATAGAAGCATTATAAAAATCACATTTCTAGTAAAAAAAAAAAAAAAGGTGAGGGTGTTTTTATATCACGAGAAGCCAACAACTATTTTTTTTAACTAAGAAGAAGTCAAGTATTTTTGATGTTGGTTAAATGTTTACTTGATAATAAAAGCTATTCCAAAAGAACATTCTGATGTGTCTATGTATTGTTGTATGAATACTCTAGCAGTTACATAGTTACACATAGTTACACAGCTGAAAAGAGACTTGCGTCCATCAAGTTCAGCCTTCCTCACATTTGTTTTTTTGCTGTTGATCCAAAAGAAGGCAAAAAACCCCAGTTTGAAGCACAATTTTGCAACAAACTAGGAAAAAAGTTCCTTCTTGACTCCAGAATGGCAGTCAGATTTATCCTTGGATCAAGCAGTTATTACCCTACATTGAAAGATTATATCCTTGAATATTCTGTTTTTGGCAAGTATGCATCTAGTAGCTGTTTGAACATCTGTATGGACTCTGATAAAACCACTTCTTCAGGCAGAGAATTCCACATCCTGATTGTTCTAACAGTAAAAAACCCTTTCCTTTGCCTTAGACGAAATCTTCTTTCTTCCAGTCTAAACGCATGGCCTCGTGTCCTATGTAAAATCCGGTTTGTGAATAGATTTCCACACAATGGTTTGTATTGGCCCCGAATGTATTTGTATAATGTTATCATATCCCCTCTCAGGCGACGTTTTTCTAAACTAAATAGGTTTAAATTTGTTAATCTTTCTTCATAGCTGATATGTTCCATTCCTTTTATTAATTTTGTAGCCCGCCTCTGCACTTTTTCTAGTGCCATAATATCCTTCTTTAGAACAGGTACCCAAAATTGCACAGTATATTCAATATGTGGTCTTACCAGTGATTTATAAAGAGGCAAAATTATATTCTCGTCCCGAGAATGAATGCCCTTTTTCATGCATGACAATACCTTACTGGCCTTGGCCACTGCTGATTGACATTGCACATTGTTGCATAGTTTGTTGTCTATAACAATTCCCAAGTCCTTTTCGTGTGTTGTTATCCCTAATTCGCTTCCATTAAGGGTATACGTTGCTTGTGTATTCTTTACGCCGAAGTGCATAACTTTGCATTTTTCAACATTAAATTTCATCTGCCATTTGAGTGCCCAGTCCCCCAGTCTATCTAAATCCCTCTGCAGCAAAGTAATATCTTGCTCACATTGTATTATTTTACAACGTTTTGTGTCATCTGCAAACACTGAAACATGAGTTTCAATGCTGTCTTCAAGATCATTTATAAACATGTTAAATAGAAGGGGTCCCAGAACAGACCCCTGAGGGACACCACTTGCCATATAGTTATTATTTATCTTCAACATTGTATATTTACTTGTAATAGTGCACAACTATTTTTGCAAGTCTCTTATTTGTATATAAATGAAACATATATATTATTAGTAATGTTGGTATTTTTGGGAATGCAGGTTGTAAAAAAATGGCATCAAAATGTAAACATTAGGGCCTGTCTCAAGAGTTCTGAATAGCCCATGACTTGAAAAAGCTGACATAGTATGGGAAACCTTAAAAGGGCTTTCCCCATTATTACAGGTTAATCTGCATGAAGCCCTTGATGGGTAACGATGGATTAATGTTCATTGTGGCACATTTTTTATTTTTAATGGCTTTTTGGGGGATTTATGGATTTTAATTTGGCATTTTTAAGGGCTGAAGAACAGACGAATTAGAAGAATAAAAAGACTTCTGATGATAAATATATGTGACCTTTTCTAGTTACTGGACATCATTTTCAGCACCAAATTCAAGTATGTTTGGGGCCTTAATGATGAAATCCATACAATGTTAAATTGCATGAACAACAGGGAAAAAAATAGACAATATCACATATAAAATAACTGAGGTTAACTGGAAAAAGGCATTTCAAGCCCAGATGAGGTTGGAATCTAGCCTAAATGCAAGTAGATCATGCCCTGCAATTGTTCAGATGTCCTTGTCCAGATTAGAGAGGTTTGAACCATAGGCTTGAAATTAGCTTTAAGACGGACTTCAATCTGTAAGAGTTTCCAGTTTTTTCATACTAATTTGCAGACCATCAGTGATTGGCATCATCCACAAAACCTATTATATGACAAACCCCTCAAAAACCCCAAAATACTGGACAAAACTGAGGTTAACTGGAAAAAGGCATTTCAAGCCCAGATGAGGTTGGAATCTAGCCTAAATGCAAGTAGATCATGCCCTGCAATTGTTCAGATGTCCTTGTCCAGATTAGAGAGGTTTGAACCATAGGCTTGAAATTAGCTTTAAGACGGACTTCAATCTGTAAGAGTTTCCAGTTTTTTCATACTAATTTGCAGACCATCAGTGATTGGCATCATCCACAAAACCTATTATATGACAAACCCCTCAAAAACCCCAAAATACTGGACAAAGAAGAAAATAACGACTGTCGTTTGAGAGAGACACGGTTTGCTAACATTTTAAATAAATAAAATTGTAGGTGTAGTTTTTTAATGAATTTTTAGTGAAACATTTAAATCAGAATGTCATAAAAAAATAAATCTATATGCCAAACACATATGATAAACAGTAAATCTAAAGTTAGAGAATAAAATAATAGGCTTATTCTTGTCTCGAGATGCTAGATATAAATAATAGATGTGTTCTAGTGCTAAAAACACTCTTAAATGTATCATCCGATGAGGATAAATATTAAGCACATCTTTAAATTTAAATCTTGTGGATCTACATTTAAAATATATTGTGATTAATAAATTATAAATTTGTTATACTAAGTGTGGCTGGAGATATAAAAACATACTGGAAACGGTAGTTTAAAACCAGCTGGGGGTTGTAGTTCAGAAATCCTCCCACAGACAATATATATATATACTCATGTTAAATTGAAGTCACATACCACTGTTCATTTTGATCATCGAGATTTGCCAGTGAATAACTGAATGACTGTCACTCTTCAACTAGAAGAAATACGAAAGTAGGAGATGGAAGTTGGGATATGTCAACTAATCTACCAATGTGATTATATGACATGTCGCAGTTGTTGTAAAGTTTAAGCTAATAGGAAGAACCATTTCTTGCCTTTACAAAAGATGTCATCTCGTCTCGATTACAGTTACCAGAAAGGTAGAATGAAGGTGACTACTTATTCCACCCTAAGAAATGGAGATGACATCTCATATGGTTGGAAAAAAAGACACTGTGCTCTACACCTAATAATTTATAAGAACCTATTAGAAAGTTCCATAGATAGGGTGTAGAATAAATAATATGGGCAGATGGATAATTCTTTGGTTGTAAAAAAACCCCCAGTATAATAAAAGACAAACATGATCTTTCCAGGCACAAAAAGGCAAATTTTCTTTTTCTAAATATTTGTTGCTGTTAAGACTTTAATTCCAAGTCTTCCATGCTAACTCACATGATTTATACTGTATAATTTATTGACCAATGTTTACATGTAGATTGCCTTTGGATGTAAGATGAAAGCACAAAGCATTTATCTTCATGTGTAACTAACCCTGACAGGGTTAAATATTTATTTCTACCTCCAGGCGTGATGTTGACAACTTGACATAGGATCTATCTAACATAAAAATGGCATATTACAATTTGTGAAATGCTTATACGTGTTACTCCTTAATATTTTAAATTTTGTGTGTGTTTTTTTTAAAACATCTCTACATTATTGAAGGTTTTATCTAACCACATGTCATGATTGGATTAAGAATCAAGGTCTCTAAATGTCTGATTGTCTGTGTATCGGCATATCTGTCATCAGCATTGATAATTTAATTTAATGTTACTTTTTTAATGTTTTAAGTATACCATGAGTGCGAGTGGTCCTATGAACAAATCAAGTTATGAAATATATCAATATTTAATTAGTATATAGTACAAGTAAATTATTAACAGCAAAACCACTATAAAATCATCAAATCATGCACAAAACAATTAATTAATAAGGTCTATCGAATCCCAATGCCACAGGAATAATAATTCTAAAACCAAAATCAACTAATATGTATCAGATAAATGTAGCAAGTATCTGTATGATACATAGAAAGCAGTGATATCTGAGAAGTTGTGATTATGATAGAGGTATTCCGATCACAATGCCGTAGGGAAAAAAATCAACTTGGCTCTGAATACCCCTAAAATAAAGATAAACAAAAAATCCTTAAAAAAAAACCAAATAAAGAAACAAATGATAATCTTAGATAAGAGCTGATAAAAATGTATCAGACTGATGTATCCAGAGTCCACATATAGCATAAAACATATAACACTTTCGATCTGATACTCAGGCCTAAACAGTGTGATAAAAAAGAATGTGATGACCCAAAAAACAGAATAAAACACACAGTGTGCACACATAATAATAAAATAAACCTTCAGGTAGTAAATAGTAAGATGTCTCAGAACATATGTAGAACTGTGGGGGGCCCCTTCCACTGGTCCAAAAGGATGCTAAGACAAGGCTCCACGATGTGCAGGAAT